CACCAGAATCGTTTAAATTTGAAACTTAACCCATAATAATATTGCGTCACGCAACAGGAAAGTTTTACATATCTAATTCTTATATGAGTCATGTATCCTATATATTTCATACGTGTAATAATTCACTTCCTATTTTGTTTCTCGTATGTCGTCCTTATGTATTTATTTGATCCCAAATGATATGCTTAAAATATAATACCTATCTACTTGCTCATTTTTACTAATTGTGTGCACGTAACAATAGAATAATTGTTTGTCAGTTTAGTAAAAGTGAATGAGTGAATGTTCCACATCGCGTTGTGTTTACTTTGTGTAGTGGAAATATCTATTCACCTTTTACCACTTCGTATTATTTAATTAATATCTACTGTTTTTAGTATTTTGCAGTTCTATTTCTTCTTGTCTATTGACATATAGATACTTTAAAAGTTGCAGTAATGTTTATTATACTATATGAATCATTCATCGATAATGTGTTAGGCAGCGCTTCAATTTCATAATATGGTTTACAATTTCACCATTATAATATGTCTCAATAATAAGAAATGTCTATGTATTTCACGTTTGTATCAAAAGGTGTACCAGAGCGGTGCCTGCAATGATGGTTACGCAAGTAGTTCACGTGATCTGTTAGTGTTTATGTTGTGCCAAGTATGTATGTATCGACGGAACTCCTATCAGGCATTGGGTAACTGTTGGAAAGAGCTTCGTTACGTAGAAGTTTCAATACAGCCTCGCAAAGTAAGGCCGTAGTTACCGTCACGCCGGTGAGAGGCGCCCCTCCTCTGACGGAAGGTCGCGAGCGCCCGCCACGAAGGAGAACGGCACCAGATTGAATCCTTGCGGTGACCCACCCGGCCACTGTTCGCATTATAAACAATGCCACTTTATAAAATTATATTTGTCGCTTAAATACCTTCTTTAGGCGATCAATACAATTTTATATTTTATGAGTAAAACACAATTTTATATTGACAGTTTATGATAGATGATGATGACCTTGTGTTGTTAACAAATTGCATAATTCAAGCTTGACGTATTCTCTTATCATTAGCAGCAAAGTAACATCAAAATTTGTAATTGAACTGAATAACATTAATCTAATCACTTTCTATGTAAAAATAATTTTACATGTAGTTAATTCTTTGGATTTTGTAATCACAGTGGGAACATTGTCTTAGACTTTTTGTTTTCATTTATTTCATCAAGCATTTGTAACATTCTATCCAAATTTATGTATTTCAAATGAAGTAAATGTACTTATAACAAGTATATTGTACAGATCACGTTATTATTAAATGATTCGTCGGTACTCAAATAAAACAAATACTATTTGTGTATACTATGGACCTGGGAATTAAGATATTGGGAGTGAGAAAGTATGGATAAGCTAAGTTAGTACATTGAAATTCATTGGCAATTAGTTACTAACCGGTCTTAATTTTTTCTATTATGAGTACACATAATTAAATGAATAGTGTTACCTCACCGCTGTCGACGATTGCGACAAGAGCCGCATCGTCCATTAGAAAGTCGGCGAATATGCAAATAGTATCGTAGAAACCTCACGAATAACTGGCCACTCACTTCGCCTTTAAATGTGTCTGCGATGAAAGTGACTATTACCGTTAGTAAATTGTGTTAGAACAATTTCTTCCGCAGACGCATTGCCAAATTTAACAGCTGCGTTTATTCTCAAACGGGTTACTTTTCTAATATTTCCGCTTTTATGACATTAAATTGAAATACGCTTGTTCAAACGATACGTTGTTTATCAATAAATCTACAACTGCCTGAACGTTTACTTGGTGTGTACCTTTATAAATGCTTCTACGACTCTAATGGCTTGTAACATGGCTTTTCCGTAGGTAAAATAGGTTTTTTGTGATAATTTTTATCACACGTTTATTTAAAGTTATTGTATCTACATACGGTTATATTACGCCCTATGCCTCTTTGTGTACAACGCATACAATTTTGATTTGAGAAGACAATCAAAGATTTAAGTAAAATATAATTAATATCATAATTATTATCATTTTATTATCTCGTAGCGACACAAAGATACATGTTTGCCTACAAATTACCTTAGTCTACATTTTATCTTATCAAAAAATCGCCTCAATTGGACTTTTTAAAAACATTGTGTTTTTACTTTTGTCTTGTTTTTGTTCTGACTTGACTCTGGTCTGTTGTATCCAAGGTTGAAAGATAAACCGTAAACAACTTAACAATTATTATCTTAAGTATATAGAGTATAAAATAACAAGTTGGTAACCAATTAACATAGTATCACAACCCGGTTGCGTGTATTTTCCGCTAGTATTCGCCTTAAAGCGATCCATTTATTATCGTCGACCGTTCGCTGACGCATGCCAATATCTAAATAAATTGTAATGTGTTCACGGCTCTTGATATTTAAAGTTCAATTTGCATTACACGACCTGTACCACCTCCGCAAGTAGCGTCAATAAGATACAACACGTTAATTCGAGGTTGGGGCGCACGATCGCGGTTTGCGTCCGGGTTTGTCCCGTCATTTCATCTTACCTACATTACTATACAAGTAATCAAACGGTTTCTCGGAAATGAAACGGAACTTATTGATTCTACCTCCCGCACATACGAAACGTGTATGTACTGAACCAGTCTAGCTCTAAACTAACAACTCAAACCTATGACGAAGATGTGTTTCTTACTTGTATGTGTATATCTCTCGGTCGAATGAGCTGAACGGACCGGTTGTGACGGCCTCTCACTTTGCAACATCGTACCGCTCGCCGCTTGCTGTGAAATTAGGTAACCAACAAAAGCCACAGTCGCTGCGCACGACAGGCAGTGAACAATAAAGAAATCCCTCCCACGAAATGGAAACCAAAAGCTGAAAACGTTAGTTTGCACATAAACCACGATGATATGATTATGAAATTTACTGCCAGAACCAAAGTACTCAGTCTTGATAGTTGTGCCGCTTATAAATTAATATAATGGATGGTATTTGAATAATACCTTGGAAAACGGATGAATTTCCTCGTATTTTCCGGAATGAACAAGACGCACGGTACGACCTTCATTTGAAGACAAACAATAAACGAACGACCTTGACATAATACGATCTAGAGATGCATTGGACTAATTACCTATTAAATAACTAATCATGTGTGTTACTGAATTACAATCGCAAAACAAAATGACTAATAAAAGAAGCAAACTCAACAATATAGAATGGGCCATGAAAACACAGATGATGCGGGCGAAACGGCTGCTCACCGAATGCCGAAGTATTCTATCGCGACGGGCTCTTTATATTGGCTGTTGGTACCGCAGAGAAAGCCGCACTCCGCGCTCCCTCGCAAGACCCGCGAGCTCCGTCCGTAGCGGGTTTTTTCCTCATTAGAGTCATAATTCCATATTATACTTTGTTTATCTATCAGTATTCGTTCACGTTCTGACAAACGTATCGCAGCTTTGTTTATATGTCGTATGCCGATTTTTGACGTCTTTTGTCTCAAGATCAAGACCTCTTTTTATTTTAGTAACTTAACGCGGAAAACGCGTCGTTGTTTCAGCTAAGATTTATTATACCATATATTATAGTATATTAAGATGCAAACATGTTTACAGTTTGCATTATGTAAATTTTATGATTGTAGTATAAGTTATATACTTGAGTACTTATGAGATACGCACCCTTAGCCGGAAAAGTGAGTTGCGTAACGAATGTTCCGACTATAGGTTAACACGTTAGCGGTGGGACTTGTCGGGTTATTGCTCCATCAGTCTCCGCTTCGCGGCGCACTCTTTAATAGGTTAATTGCCTGGCATTGTAGTGCTGGCACACATCGTCAGCTTCGACCTTAAAGTGACTCGCGGCCACGCATGTAGGTGTGCGCATCACCAAATGAGGTGCGCCTGGGACACTTCTGTTTTAATTGTCTTTCTGTTAGTTATAATCTGTATCATTTAAAGTATGCTCAACGAGAACACGTTTTCTGTGAACGTAATCCAATGATCAACTGTATTTTCATACTGTTACAATTTTGTATCAAACTAAATTCAAAGTTGTTTCCACTCAGCTACTTGTCGACAAGTTATTTTATTTACGTTGCATCCAACAATATTTTTATTAATATTTTATATGATTTTTTTTACTGATAACTTGAGTATTTCTAATGGGTTTACCTTTTATACTTAACATCTTTCCATACTATTAAAAACAGGGTAAGACGGTGAAACTATAACGCTCAACTTGGAACGTATCGCCGCGACGTTGCCATTCCAAGCGATGAAAGTCATTACTTACCTCTAAGTAACGAACACGCAATAGCCACACGGTTGCAACTGAGCGCTTATTAACCCAGGATACCCTTATTTGGACTCACAACTACACATATGTGTAGTCATTATCTATATGTAATTCACCAAATAGGTAGGTTAGGTATATTTTCTTTAATATAATAGCTTAATTTTCGTTCAATCTTATTAGTTGATTATGTGACTCAACAAAAACTATGTGAATTCGTGCCAGCCTTCCCACGTTGAAGCTCCGAACATTTCTCTTGGCCAGCAGTAGATTCCATATAAATTATTCACCATCTACATTTTGACAAATGTCACAAATACATCCGACGTCCTTTTTTCTCGTGCTGACTGTAACGTTATCTGTATTCTTCCGGTCGAACGTTTTGTTTGTATCTATTTTACGTCACAAGCAACGACGACGATCTACTATTCATTCGAACTGTGCCGATACTATTTTGGTATCACAAAAAACATTAAAATACATGTTTGCTCCGACGTTCACAAAGTTTTGCTCAAGGGCAATTTTAACTTTAAAAACTTTATCGTTGACTGAACTTGATTCACGTGTACAAAGTTGAATAATATTGTTTTTATTTATTACACATAATATCAATTCTAATAAACTGCAACTTAATTAATTTTGTAATAAATTTATAGTCGCAAAAGATACTTTACATGTTGTTTTCTGGTGTTTTCAGAAAATCTCCATTCCGGGATCCAATGGCAATGGCCCATTGGGTGAGACCACATTTCACTTCAGCCTCAACAGTAATGCAGAAATGGAAGGTCCACAGGTAATATACCAAATTTTAATAAGGAAAGTTTGCATGACTCATCTCTTTTGACATAGTAGTATGAGGCAAATACTGAATAATATAAAAGTTTTCTGTCTAACCCCACATGGAATAGTACTCTCTGGGCCGAACTCAGAAGTTATACTTATAACAAAGTCATAATAATATACTCGTAAATATAATCACATCTATATATTCTAGTCTGTAATGTTCTTTACTCATAAAGGAAGTGTGATAGGTAAATAATTATACGTTTACCGTGCATCTAATTTAGTTTATGTGATAGTAGCCTTAATTAGATTTTTCATGTGGGCTTTCTTAAGCGCATATTTAATATTGTTATATAAATAATTTGTGTATTTATGTTGTAACTATAATTAACAGATTATTTATTGTTATTACTAATACGTTACAGTTATTGTCATAAATAAATTAGCTCACGTTAACATACCTGTTCCCTAATTATCTGCTAATAATCATTTAATCATGTAGGTATAGCTTGAGGTTTTGGGTAAGGAAAGAACCGACAATGTGTGAAATTGTCAATATTTTTCTTTAGGATGTTAGTGTTGAAAGGAATATGTAATTGTAGTTTGAAAGGATTTTGTAGGGTTAGGCCCGAGGAACTAAAGGGCGGTGGGGCTGTAAGGTATTTTTGAGCTTGAACTTACGTTGATATAGGTATAATTGTACAGGTTGTATGCCGGCTTCTGTAAGCAAATGGCCTGATGTATGAATACAGATATTGAATAGATAACATATGTTTATCAAATTATGTGTTAACAAGGCTGGTTTTACATAAATAAGGTGATATTATCAATAGTTAACTTCCAATCGCAACGCCTTATAGATTATTATCGTTAGTGTACAACGAATGGATGAAATTACATAATGTAGTATGTTTCTCTAATACCATCGTTATTTACTTTTACTCGCTAATTAATCTTTACACTGGAATCTCAATATCGATTTTAGTCCAATCCATGGATCTATTGTTATTTTTAAATAAAATCATATTAAACTTAATAAATTAATAGCAGAATTGAATTAAAAAAATAATTTAATTAACAATCCGTGAATAGGAATTAGATGCAGAGTAGATCGGCTTTTTTATGTATATATAATAGCAAACAACCTGACGGTCCACCAGATGGTAAGTGGTGACCATCGCCTATATAGATACATATTACTATATATTTATGTGTGCGTTAGCTATCCGTAGAACGAAGAGGCTTTTGTTCTATAAATTTCGGCTGTTGTAATATTGTTATAGTTGATAATAAGTTTATTGTGCAAAAAACAAATACAAAATGGACTTAACGAAGGTTATATATCTATATTATTTCCACATATATGCAATAGTTTTTAAAAACTGTTTAATACCTGGTATTAAACAGTTTGAATTATGAATACTAACGACAATAGCTTGCAATAAAACTAAGTTTTGGACTTAAAGAATTGTCATTGTTGAATTTTTTGAATGATAATGGAATGGTGCCCCCGCCTGAGCTAACGGTTTACGTTGGCAGGGCACCACTGGAGGATGATAAGATAAGCATAAGGTTAGGTCAATTAGCCCATTGTGACATATTCACCAAGAATTTATCGTGATAAATTCTTGGTGAATATGTAGGTTTCCAGGAGGAACCGCGTGGAGGTCAACCTGACATGGTACATTGCTAGCAATGGTATCATTAATCCACACTACTAACAATCACCGTTTACCCCAATGAGTTGTAGTAGAAGCTACAGTTGAACTAGAAAATACTCACGTGACCTGAATTACATTGTTGGGGCCAGTATTAAAGTATTTTTGGGTTAAGAAGAATTTATTTATACGAGTGAGACGAAATTATTATATTGTAACATAGTTAATTAAAATTATAACTTTGAATACTATTAAGGTTCTAATCTCAAACCCTATAGATGTCTATAGGGTTTGATATTAGTATAGGCAAAACAATATTTATCTATTCTCAATTTGACCACAGACTTTAAGAATAAACAAAATAGTATGTATACGTGTGTATCAAATGCATAGATGTTTTTTTTTTAAATATTAGCATTTTGCACTTCTTCTATAAACTATAAGTATGCCAAATTTCATACTGCTCCTTCCGGGCAATTTTTATAAAAATAGGTGCAAAGTTTTTAATATATAGATTCTCTCGGAATTCTGTCTGTTATTTGACATCACGTCGACTATTTCTCAATAAACTTTTTAAGTGGTTATAAAGTCTTATTTATTTATTTATAATGGTATTTATAACCACATAAAAAGTTATATAAACATAATATTTTGTAGTTGTATTATCAATCAAGGTAATAAATGTTCAAGAATTTTGTTACACGTAAATATATGAGTTCATTATAGTTGCACAGTTAATACACTATGTTTGCACAGGTGATGACTGTTTAACGTCAGATATCTCAAGTGAAATATTATGTATATTAGCCCTCTTCAATGAGACCATACCTATATAAGCTACATGTTTTGATAAATGTATTACTATTATTAATATTCTTATCAGTTATCCTGACTAAAAGAAATCTGTTAATCATACAGGATCATATGGATATTTTAGAACAGACTTTATCACAAGGTTGACAACTGTAAATTTATATCACTATATTAGGTATAACTACTAACTAAAAATCGCAAGAACTAATAATAACTAAATAAAGAACTAAAAAAACTGACTACTTCGTTAGCATATATGTCACTTAGCAACATTTCTATTATTCCAATTAAATATACATGTTATTGATTTTTAACGCCCTGTGACTTTCACGGAACGTTAACTCGCAATAAAAAGTAATGTTTTTCACTTATATGTTATTAAAGTGCCAGTGTCTACTTCACGCGTTGCTGTTATAAAATGAATAAAGCATGCGTTTATTTTAGGATAAAACTACTTTGCTCAGATGCTTTCGTTTCAATCAGTGTAGTTACTGTTTTATATTGTCATTTGAAATATTTGTATGCTTCGAAATGATATAAAATTTATCTCGATATCAGTAGAGGTGTGCTCGATCAGTAAATGATAGTTTACTGACGATGGTTACAAAATGTATTTATCATAACCCGCAACATGCCACAGCGTGGAACAGGTATCTCATAAGAGTATAGAGTTTTATTTGTTTTATACATTAGTTACCATGAAATACTAAGTCATTACCATATCTACTACAGATATACCTAATAATTGTGTTATTTATACTCAGTTTCTACATAAAAAGAGACTCTGTTAGATAACCAGGGATGAACAGAATGTTGTATGCCCTGTCTACTTGTTCTATAGTTGATTCTAAAAACTAGATGTAATGACATTATAGGCAGTAAATATTGATAAAATGAAGCTCTCGTGAAACCTGAATATCATATATAAAAAAAAACTTGTTACTACTTTTATTGTTTGAGCTTACTTAACATTATCACCTTCTTATAAAATCCTTACGTTAATAAAAAGACCATTGACAGTAAAAGATTGATAATTGGATTTGAAAAATCAATTATCTGTTAGTCGGCTCATTCGCCGCTTGAAATTCAACGTTCAAAACTGACTGAACGGATGATTCAAAGTATACAGCATAACATTTAATATTCTCCGTAGTATCTATCCCCTTATAATGCATGTACATACGCGCGCTCGCGTGAGTTTGTGGGTCGCGAAACGGTTGCAGTGGATAATAAGTTATGATCGACAAATTAGTCGGAATAAACTTACGTATGGGTGGTTCGAACTCTGGCCTGAATATTTTCACTAATTTTATCATTGTTAGTTATAGATTGTAAATAATTTATGTTATTAATTAGCTATATTTAAAAATTTCCTTTAATATTTGCCTTTATGACTGGGACTATGATATTTTGCACATTTTTAATGTACCTTCTGTACCCGAAGATAACATAACATCCGGACAACATATATACAACATAACTCTCAACTAATTTCAAACTATCTGATTATTTTAAGCAGCAAAGGAAAAAAAAATATTCACTTGGAATGCAGCGCGCATTGAGACGTTACTCAATAGCCTCTAGAAAGTGCAATTTCAGGCACGAAGTATTCGTAGGTATTGTATTGTAAAACTATAGGTAATAGATTAGACCTTATGGATCGTATCTTATAGTCTATAATACTGTTTTGTTGCAATATAAATATTTATGCTTTCATATTTAACAGTATTTTCATTTAATCTTCTTTTTAACTATTTATACATGTAGCCTCTAAAGTTTCTACTTAAAAGCCATTTTCGATGTTAAAATCCTTTCTTATCCCATTACTGAGTTTGGAAGGTAAGGCAATTCGAATATTAATCAGGTTGTCTTAATCAAGGTGATTTACTAGTGTGAATGCTAATTTTGTATCTCTTGAAGTTCGTGCGTTCCGTTTATGTGTACAAGATCTCATCATATCTATATAGCAAATTTAATATGTAAATGAGAATTCAGTTTATAACCAAAAGTGGTTATAAATCTGAAATCCAAAAATAAAATTATGTTATTATATTTTTCAATTATTATATTCATTGATGTCGCAAATTCAAATATTACGTATAAATATTATATATACAACAAAAATAATCATTACATATGTAAGCATATAATGCATAAATAGTTTTAAGACATCGCTTAGGTCTTCTTAGTTTTTCTTATTTCACAGTTATTTATTATTTTGTGACAGTTATATTCTAACTTTAATTATATATTTTTATTTACTTTCAGGGATCGTTCGAATGCGTCAGGGGAGGTGGCGCGCGGCGGCTGGAGTCGTGCGGGCCGTTGCCGCGCAAGATGCGGGTACAAGCCAATGACGACTCGTACGAGGCTACCAAGGACCGCATGGCGAGGACTGTTGCCGCGGAGCAGAGCAAATGGTATATATTTTAAATAAATTAATATGGAATTATGCTTCCGTCTGCGCTAACAGTATACTGTGAGCATAACCCTATCATCAATCATGATAGGTTGAGCATATGAAGCCAGGTCAGTTAACACATATTGTGCGGTATTCACGTGAAATGAACAAGGAAGTGGAGACGACGTGATAAAATAAATCGCCAGCGATGTAACGTATATTACTTGCGATTTTTGCTGTCACTGTTCTATTGTTATTGACCGTTTGATTTGTCATGGGACTACTAGATACCATTGCTACAGTTCCCTGCCAAATGCAATGGTGGTACTTAGTGCACATTTCAATATCTATTGAAATGTGCGCAGATTATATTATGTATCAGTTCGAACACACTATAGCACTTTCCAAGTACTGTGGAAATATATTTGACTATATAGTATTAGATTACATTAGGTATTATAATAATTCTTGACACACCTAACAATCCTCTGTTGTAATATCTTTATGTTTCAAATTTAGACATGAAATGCACAAATCAATAGTATCTTATTTCTCTATATCAATATCAACTGCGCAATTGATTATTATCAAATATTTGCAATGCTCATATTTCAATTACCAAACACGTATACTATAAATTGTATATTGTAATACTTCCAATATTTTTCTTGTCGTAAGTATTTCTAAAATGCTGAATATTTGATTAATGAACTATTAAATCCACTGTACATTCTCGAAGCTTACAATTATATATTTGGAGGTAATGGTAGTCTTTTTACTTTGAATTAAATGCCTATCCCTATATAATATGGTATAGTTCTAATTCCGTATGCATATTTCATAATATCTAATCGCATTGGTATCATTACAGCACCCGCGTGATAAAGCCAAACCAGACGGATATTGGACGGCGTGTTAAAGTCCGTGCAGCACACCCTATATACCCAGCGTCGGCAGCAGCTCAGTTAGCTGAGCGTACGGAGAGAGGGGAGCGTTTAGAGCGCTCAGAGCGGCCTGACCGACCCGACCGGCCCGACAGACCCGACCGGCCCGACAGACCCGAGCGGCCCGACAGACCCGAGCGAGTTGAGAGGCCAGAACGCATGGACAGGCCTGAACGCATAGATAGGCCTGACCGTATGGACAGGCCTGATCGCATAGATAGGCCTGAGAGAATCGATAGACCTGAAAGAGGAGTAGAAAGGGTAGATAGATTAGTGGCGGCGCCCCCGGTTGTCCGTCAACAACCCATACCGGCCTCGCTGCCTCCGCAGCAACATCAACCACACCCACACCAACAGCAGCGCGCGCCCCCTAATCCGGATCTCACGAAACGGTCCATAAAGTAAGTATCACTTTCTCAGCAATTTAGAGTGTACTACTACACGTAGGCTTTGCCTAGACTAATATAAGCGGCCAAAAACCTACTGCATCTTTGTACTCCTAAGCAAGACAGGAGGGCGCTCTCTTTCTCGCATTAAATAGCTTTTTAATATTTACAGTTATGTAATAAGGCCGACCACATTTCATATAATATATAGGGTAAAGACGATAGTTATTGATGTCTATCCAAAGAGTTTATAATACCTAAGTCTCTGACACCCTCTTTAATATAAGTCAAAACAGATTAGGTAAGAATGTTACTCTTAGAGACACACGCACAAAAAAGTATTCAGAACCCCTTAAATATTACAGTCGGTTGAAAATAAAATTATTTGTATGTCAATTTTGATAGGTGCGCTGGTTAAGAACGTGATCTACTAGCCGATGTAATTAAAAATATCTTTATGTTCATATGTTTATTTATTCGCGATTATACAACCTTTAGTTTTTTTTTTGTTGATGATGAAATCTTTATAAAATGCTAATAAATACACATTAGACAGACTATACTTTGACAACTTTCTAAACATCACTTGAACTTCTATGGTCTAAATATAACATCAGATATAAAAAATATAAGAATCCATCATTATCATGGATTCTTATATCCTATAAGTATAGCTGTATAGTATTAATTAAACAGAGATTAGTTATTTAAAATATATTAAAATGTTTTTAGATGTGTTATTGTCCAAAAAAAACTAAATTTGTACAGTTCATACCAACGAAAATGGAATATCAGGCGTGTATAATGTTAATTAATATTCATACACTACAATTTATAAAGTATTTTAATTGTTATGATACACTTCAAATTCATATCTGACAGCCTTAGGGGTCCCAATCAAGTTATGTAATACTTTTATCTGTTACATTATTGTATTAACGCGTAATTGGTAAACGAAACTATTATCATTAACTATAAATATTATCTTCTGTTTAACATATCTGCAATTGTTCGCGTGTCGTTGCCATACCCAAAAGTTGAAAGATAAGGTCATATCGTTATCAGTATGAAACCATAACGATAATACTTTGCGGTAAAGGAAATGTGGTTGCAATCTTCATATATTTAACTCGCGCTATACTTGACTAACAATTTTGTATTGCCTTTTACATATAATTGTGCCATAAAAGAGGATTCACTGATATCAACATTAACTTACGGCATGAACAATCATACTTGTATATTTAAGGACAGATAAACTAATACAATTTAGGTATCAGTATGGATTAAAAGATTCCCGAATGGATAGAGAATGCTTTGACGTAAGCAAGTTCTTTGATAAACTGTTACTTGTTTTCTCGCCGAAGAAAAACAAATGAGAGGTTATCAATTCGACACGAGCGACATATGCTCGTATCGAATTTATGAATATATATTGCATTTGTATTATTCCTAAGTCTTAATTCCATAAAAGTCACGTGATACTAAACAAAAATTACCACGCATGATTTCTACAAAATATCCTGAATTTTATGGAATTAATGAAGAAAATAAATAGGAATTCTTTGAAAATATTAAAAATACTATGTAATCACGCATAGTATCATCGAGAATACGTTAGCATAGTATATTGGTGCGAAACGCTTACGATCTGTATCAATAGTTTTTAACAATATGAAATATATTTACTGTATATTTTTAAATTGAAATACACATTAGTATCTTATTGTTGATTGATTGATTCATTCATGCATTGAGTTAGTTGTCACATGACTAACGAAGGTTATCTAATTCTATTCTAATTATTAAATAAACCTATTTGAAATATGGTCATAATTACAATAAAATAATGCCATTTATAGCAATGGTGAAATGGAGTACTCTTATTTACGCGTAGTCAAAAGATTAGTATGAAATTCGTTGCCACTTATGTATATTCTAATTTTTCTCACTTACCTAGCTCTGTTTGTTAGCCTCTCATAGCCAGATATAGAAAAATTATAGTCAATACTAATGAGTAAATACGTCAGTATTATACGTGTTACTGCATGTTGGGTGTATATCTGTAATGTTAATTCAGTTAAGCCCATGAGTATAAAATACTCTCTGATGATTAAAATAATCATAATAACCCAGGACAATTCACACAGCGTCATTTAGTACCAAGCTAAGCAGAGCTTATACCGCTAATACTAGATAACTGTTGCAAATACATACATATTTCATAGAAAACACACTGACTGATACAAACAATTATAGTCAAGAATACAAATATTTGTGTGGTGGTATGCTTAACGGCTAACTGAGGTCATCATGTATAACCTCAGCCTATTATGTTTTTTTCTAATTCGTCTCCGCAATTTCGGCAATTGAAGCCCAGAAAATGAATCAGCGTAGTTATTAACATGGCATTAATATTTATAATAAACTATATTATTGTTGAATATCTATTCATTACCGTTAATCTCTTTTTTTTCAGGGAAAGACTTATACAATTACTAGCACTCAAACCCTTCAAGAAGCCAGAATTGTACGCTAGGCTCAATAGTGGTGAGTTAGTTACCATCCTTAATCTAATTACCAACGAAACTCTTGTTTGTTAACGCTCGGCATGATATTGCAGAAGGGATCAAGGAGAGGGAACGCTGTCTGGTGAACAAAATACTGCCTCAGATAGCCACGCTGAAGGATAATTGTTTTCACTTACGTAGACATATATGGAATGACGTCAACGAAGACTGGCCGTTCTATTCAGAGGAGGAAAAGCGTACGCTGAAGAGGTCAGTCATACATAATGTGCACGTAGCCGTCATATGTAATGTGCACGCAGTAATCATGTATATGTATATTGTACATGCATGTACTTACTATAACTGTTAATTGTAGGAAACTATATTGTTTCCTGTACAATTGAATTGCGATGACGTTGCGCATCAATTAATATTTCGTATATTATTTATTCGTATATTTTTTTATCTAAATACCGGAAACTCCGGCTTAATTCTCTTAAGGTGTCTTTTGAACTTCCAAGTGCCAAAGGTTCAAGATTTTCTTTGTTGTTGACTGCTTTGTGAATTATTCATCAGTAGATACATAACAGGTCGTTTCGTATTTTCCACATGGAACACTAAATCTTGAACGTAGCTTTACGTTGCTGTTAATTCAAATAATTACTAAACTCTTAAATACGAAAGGTGGTTTTTCATTATTTTTTATGACGGCGCATGTCTATGCGTGATCGTAAGACTTCCTTCGAAAACCGATCGATGTCCAAATGGGTCCACCAGAGAAAAGTAACTGACTTACATTAACTTAACAATAAAATTCCAATACGAAAAATGACGCAGTCCTGTTTGATCATAGATGATAGCGTGTCATATTATTCTACCAAATTCTTACTTGCACCGGGGAATTGTTTACATAAACAAATATTAGCTTCCATTGTCAACGATATGAAATAATAATAAGGCAAGTCTAATATGAGCTTAAACAATAAATTTGTACAGGCGGAAACCTCAAAATCTAACGCCACCGCTGAGTAGCGACTCGGCACACTCGCTGTCGCCGCGTGCGTCGCCCAACGCCGGCAAGCGGCCCAGTGCGGGCGCGGGCGACGAGCTGCCGGCCAAGAAGCAACGCATCTCGCACTACCGCCGGCCCTCGCCGCCCTCCTCTGGCTACGCCACTACCTCCTCGGGCGAGCGGCACGCCTCCGACAACGAGGACGACAGAACCACAGGTAAACATCTCTCTATAGCTTACTCTGTACGTGTTTAATTTTGTTAAAAACTTCACAAATACCAATTCAAACCTTAGTATGCAAATTAAGACAGTTGTTTCTTGTTGATGACTTGAAAGGTCATCTTAATCTATAAGTTGTACAATCAAGAAGGATAGTCCTTCTTGAATTTTCACCAATATAATATGTTATGCATGAATGAAGATCACGCCATAAAAATTCCAAATGGCATAAACAGCAATGCATTTTCTAATGTGTAAACTTTAAAGAATCTCCACACTCGCTTTTTATGGTTAGGGAAAACCGAGTCTAAATAGAACTCAGAGCGTCAACCACATGGTCGTATCATGAGACAATATTAAAATATGTCGTGTAACACCGATCAAGATACGTACATTACCTGCAAAGTATCAAACCACTCCAATGCATTAGATACTGTATCGCAACATCAATTTATGTAGTCACCTTTCATGTACATACTTCTTAGAATTTATGTAATAATTGTGTGGAAAAATAAACCTCAGTGTATGATTCATAATTACATCTTCGTTACTTAAATTTTTCTATAACATTTCAAAGGACGAAATCATTTGGATTTCTATAAATTATTGTTTATTATCTGTGGGTATTTAAATCAATGATCATATTTTTTGTTTACAGTGAAAAAGGATAACGGATACACCCTCAACTTTACCACTGTTAAAGAAATCTGCGCCAGTCCTGTAAAAACGAATGGTTTTAGAAGTAGTCCCCCATTAGAGCAAAGTAGTAGTATCACAGGTATGTAGTACAATCTTACAAAATATCTACCTATTATACCTTACGTATTATAAAAATTATTACGGTCATATTCAGAATTGTATGTGTAATTATCTTGAAAATTTAATTTAAATGCACCATAAGTTGAAGAATGTAGAATCATCTGTGTATCGAGGGAAGTGAAAGGCATGACTTAAATAGTAGGTCATTAAATGTAACTGATCAAGTACAGAATACGACGAATATCTATTTCTGATTATATCAATGGTTTAGTTTAACTACATTTTCAAATGTTCACTTGATTCTTACCCTATATTAATGAATATTAATAGGCCATTGATATATAAAAACAAATATTGTTTACAGTAAAAGACATCACAAATACGGAACCTTTAGAAAATACAGAATTGTCGTCCGTACCCGACGACAAATTGACTGATTCGGATGACATTGAAAGGTAAGCATAATGTCAACCAAATACTATTCTTATTTGCATAGTGTCACTGCCAACAACTGTATGCATGTTGCCCCTTTCACTTTTGACCTTCGATTTAAATGTAAATAAATATAGGACCTTGTATGATTTATTTATTTAGAGAAATCAGTACATACGGCGTCGGGTTCAAATATACCCAACGAAATGCTGGAATGTCAAGTGTTGCCTTCACAGAAACCATTACCTTACAATACCTCATACTACCACATCTGGTGTGAAGGATTTTGAATGTACAATAATATATTTTATTTTATGATGATTAACGTCGCTTATATACATGACCAGCACTACGAATATCACGTCAGCAGGTGACACCACCAATACCACGCGGCGATGCTATTTCATAGGACTAATATTTGGCTCTTCTACTACTACTACTACTCTATTGTCACTGCCTAATCTGAATCCTGCAAACTGCTTTTTACAGTCTACCTCCGACGATTTACGTGTGTCTTTGATTTGTAGGCAATACCCGCCTATCACGAGTTCGAGCACGAGGCGCGCGTACAAGAATGAATTCGCGCAACTGTACAAGGAGTACAGAGCGCTGTACGAGCGCGTCGCTCAGGTGGCGGCGCTGTTCACGCGGCTAGAGCAGCAGCTGCAGCGCGCGCAACCCCACTCGCCGGACCATCAGGTAATTGTAATAACTTTTTCTTCGAACTATTGTAATACTTTAAGCCGCATCTCATTTTTACAGCCATACCAGGCGAAAGTTAACCCTAAGACTTACCAAGCTGCTAAAGATCCTGAGAAAGAACTCCTGCCTTATGGTTTTAGTTTGATAGCAACTTTAGGGTTTCGAATCTCGGTTTGAACCTTTGTAATTTCTAATCTTATACTTCATCCAAAGTTGCGAAATATTTTTTCTATTCAAAAGTATATATAACTAGCACCGAGAAAATAGAAGTTTTATAGTCATCAAAATGTAGTAGTAAAAAAATTATAGTTTGTTTTTTCTGATTGTGTAATTATTTCTTGTGCAGAGATTAATTTATATAAATTGATAATATCAGAGACAAAGTCCAAACAACTGTTTCGTCTAATGATGATGATAGGCAAATCTATAATTACTTCAAATAACTGTAATGAGATGGAGGGGACTAACCTGCGCAATTACCACTGCTGTTACATAAATAATTAGGGTAGCAAGCAATCTAGTGATGAATGATCACTAGTGGCAATCTACTACAAAATGCTATGAACGGCTTGTCTCCTGCCGCTTTGCAAAATATGACGAGCGAAATGTGAGCATCATAGGTGTTGCGTTCATCAGAAAATAAACAGGTGGTAATACCTCTGACTAACCCATCTGGAGTAACAGTTGTGCCAATATGTTGAACCAAGGAGGTTTTGTTTGTGGATTTTAAAAGTTCTTGTCAGACTCGTATAGCATTTAAATTATTGTTACGAATACATATACATCATTAATTACTCCCTCGTCTGTGTAACCTTTAACATAATTTAAATATCCAACAGAACATAGAGCAGCGTATCCAAGAGGAGTACCGTCGTGTGAGGAACGACTCCGGTTACCAGCACGAGCGGCGGCGCGTTAACTTCCTTCACCGCAAGCTCACGCATATTAAGAGGATGGTCAGTCAATACGACAATCTGGTGAGTTTCTTTGTTTGTATTATTACTAATCTATCTGAGGTGATTTTCCTTTCTAATGTATCTATTAAAGTATTTAGACTAGCGTTGTATATAAAAAAAAAATATAATAGGTATATAATTCTTTGTAGATTTATTTACTTTTCTATTTTACATACTTTTCACAACTAAGCTTGTATGTGAACACATACGGTCTTATTACAAAAAATCTGTTAAAACTCGGACGAAACGTGGTCTAAATGGTTTGGTTTAAATAAAGTTAATACTTGGAATAACCCTAACATTATTACGAATCCAGATCTAACAGGACTAAGTACTACAGTTAAATCGTTCATTATGTATTCCATACAGAAATCAGTCACTCATGTCTGTCACCGTACAATTACGTTCCATTTTACCAGAAAACTGAAAAGATCAAAAATAATATTAGTTCAAAGAAAAATGTATAAACTAAAAATAAATTTATTTCTATTTATCTATGTCTTCATTATAACTATTTCATTAATATATAATATTTATTAATGTACTATTTGGCTGAAAATCAGTTTTAAATTATTAGTAGGAGTCCTATACGGAGAAAAGGAACGGCGAGATATTTTTATTGGATCGTTCGAATGATGACTATTTCAAAGTCAAATGAGTGAAAAAATAACAATTAACGTCTTTTATATGTTTTTATTGTCGTAAAATTTGCTTTAAATATTTTTAGTTAATATATTTTTAATTTAGTTAAAATATTTTTCCAAAAACTACAACTAACAATAGAATTTTTAAAATGGAGTTTGTATTTTTGCATTTAGACCACTGTTAAACTATTTTTCTCCATAGACGAATCACGATTTAGAGATAAACTTCATTTTGTAATAAGGAATACATTGGTGAATGGTTTATTACTAGTGCTAAAGATTTATCTTTTTGTAATAAGATTAGAGAACACATAGTTTGAGATTGTACGCAGCTGATTTGAATGTACAACATCAATACTGTATAAGAGTGTACTCTCACACTATTTTTCTCCACACGCAGTCTTAGATTTTAAGATTAACACTTATCTCTAAAAAAGAATTCCTCGAATTTATGAATAAGTGAATCACACATAAATGTTACCTTGTTTCTAATTCTGTCTTTCGTTATTGCGCAATATCCAAAAATTCTCAGTAATGAATAAATAATTATAAACAAAAATATTAGTCAGTATAGTTTATGTATGTTAATAATAGATAACAGGGTATCGAGAACGGCTCTATCATTTCAGATAAGATGGTAGAACGAATATTATTATGGTTTTCTCACAAAAATAATGTTGGTACATTTTCTTGAACATTATAATTAACAATATGCTATGTTGCTTCGTTTATCTAGAATACTTTACTCACAACTGGGTAAACAAGAGCCATAGTTATATTATTCTCTGTATTGCATTTTTGCACATTTAAATAACACTGCAAAAATACCACTGAACAAATAATATAGTATAATATATAGCTACTACATGTAAATTGTATATTTTATTGTAATATAAGTTGTATTTGTAATTGAAGTATGTGAGCAATTGTTTATCTATTACTCTGTGTTTACTTAAAAAAATAACTATTCCAGTACAAAATGTAATTGTATTAAGTCTTATTGTTTATTTATAAGGAATTTGAGTTTAAAGATCAACCACGTTTACTACGGGCGTCATATGATAACATGATATCATGGTTTCATTCATATAACGACGGTTACCACACACATAATGTGGCCCGCCAGGTTGTGGGCCATTCCAGGTACAAAAAATAATAATGCATAGGCTGTTTTTTGTATCTATAACAGTTTTATCAATCATATCGAATCTAATCATATGTACGTAGGCACGTATGTTACTACATCACATTATATTCTCATAGAATTGATAAGATTACACTGATGAAATTGTCATTGACTATGCCTCATTATCTATGGTAAAACCAATGTTCAACATTGAATATTAATAAGTCGTATTTGTTTACAAATATTCCATTTGGGTGTGTATTGATAATATATTGTTATTCTCAGGGTATGAATTATTATTTTCTATTCAATTGGAATGGTAAAACAAGTTGACGGGTCTACCTGATGCCAAGTGTTTACCTTCTTCTACATACGTGAACAGCACTACGGACATCACGTTATGCCCACTATACCACCCATGCGTTGCCATTGCAGACAACTAAAATATTATGCCTCGTATTCTATAATTTTACTCATTTTTAACCGAAACACAGCTTACAAAGTAAACTGCCGGCTAAAATAAGTGAAACTAAGGTATCAAGACTCTTACAATGTCTACCGCGCTAGAATTATATATTATTAATCCTAAAACTATACTGTAATTTCTTATTTTCCTATTTCAAGTCTGTAGCAACGCCTTTAAAGGATTATGGAAATTTACCAGTAAGTTTTATAAAATTTATTCCAATAAAACTGATAAAATATAAATATGACGTTCATGCTGAAGCCCTGTTTGTTAGATGACACTGTCAGGATTTCTTTGTTCTGGTCTAAGAACAATATGTTTGCGATTAACAGCTGAAGTTTAACCAATATTATGCTTAAGGTAGGTTATGGCAAATGTCTGAAGTGAATATGAAATTGCTCATTATGATTATTTGGCATTCACCATAACAATAGTAGTAATAATTGTCTTTGATATTATACACCTACTTATAATAAGATTTTTATTCGGTTTTAATGTTTTAATATATGATGATTGAGTACCTGCATTTCTTAGTTAATATTTAGTGGAATATCCTAAAATAAACAGATGTAAGCGAATAAATTGTAGTTAAATGCAAAATTTAACAACAAATGTAATGGAAAAAGTAATGATTTTATTCCTTGATTTGTAATACAATAGTAAAAGCAAGTTTCTTGTTAATGTTTAGGTATGTAATACACTTATATGTAATTTTGGGAATAAAAAATTATGTAGCTATTTTTACTACAACAAATCGTAAAGCCGTTGTCATTCTGCCATAAAATTCAAGTTAAGCATAAATTTTTGTAAATGAAAAACAATGTATACAAAACTGACTTTATTTTCTGTTCTCTTTCTCAGCGCAACTTAAAACCGGAACGAGTTCCAACGGCGAGCACGACGCAAGCGTACTGACACTCGAGTTATTCGCCGCCCGCCCGCTGCCTCTAGTTACTGCTACAACTAACTGCAACAACCATCCTCACTCAACTGGACTGTACACATACTACGCAATACATGTACATCGGGAACTGTTCGCCATTACGAAGTAACTTGCACGTTTCGCAGGTAAATACGGTTGGCGGTAAATGACTTGAACAAAGTGTAATATAATTAAACCTGCGCAACACGCCTTAGTACGTTAAATTGTTAATGCGCATGTTACTTAGTATTAGTATTGTCCAAGTTGTTTGCCGGTATGTATAGCTACTATTCGGTTATTTTGATAAAACTGAACAGTCCCGAAGTATATTGTTCGGTTTGACTGTACAAAATTCGTGCAAACAAACCGCATCGAAACGTTCACTGTCTATTTCCGGTTCGTTTCATACTGCCTTCTTATATGCCTTTCTATCAGAGATTTATATTTATCATAGTGAATTTAAGAGGCTGTGCAAGCAGTAATTTCAATACAAACTTTTTTGATGCCGTTTTTTTGCTGTTGAGTATGTAAAAATGTCTCCCGAAAAGTGACAGACATATTCAAAATGTAGTTTTATACCTAGTACTGTCTTGTTTCAATTGTTCTGTAAAAGCCGTGATGAGTAATATCTATGAATGTTTTATTGTATCATTTAGTTGTAATAGTCAGAATTATCAATGATACACATGTGGCATAGAGGGATGATTTTTATAAAAATAACATACATATATTATATATTTCTTACTTTTTAATTTCGTTTACACAACACACTTATCTAAATAGTTTTATTTACTAGTTTTTCTATATCAGGGTCAACCATGAAAACATTAAACTTCATTATCTGACTTCTGAAACAAAGGTATTTTCTATACCTACCTCAGAAGTCAGGGACTTCATAAATTATTTGTAAAAAATATGTGAAAGAAAGAAATAAATAATGATTGTTTATTATAAAAATGATTAATTATTATTATTAAACGTTAACAATCTCAACCATGCTTAACAAAGTAAATATAACAAAAAACGTATAATAATAAAAATATCCCGGCAAGAAATATTCTGCAAATTAAACAAGACAACCATTCAATATGAAATAAAATATATTTTCTTCTTTGAACAAAAGGACTTGTGAAGTTATATTAATTACCATAGGACCAGAAGGTAGCTGTACAGGTGGGTGAAGGCGTGTTATACGACTAATATGTACAGTTGTTTAAAATCTAAATAAAATCAAGATCCTCTGTCTATATTGTCTAATATATGCATAAATTGTTTAAATCAAATATTTTTTTCTCCTTCTTTACAGTTGATTCCAATTAATAACGTTCTTTTAAGCCACATGATATTATTGGAAATTCTGGCTATTGTCAACTTTGTTGTTAATATATCAATGTAACAGATTATTATTTTTATAAATTACAAATATACACATTTGCGTGTAAAAATAGGATATATTGTGTATTATTTATATATTAGAATTGGGAAGTTTTTATTGTGTGTTTATTCATGGACTTTCGAATCCAATGTAAAATGGAATATCTTTTATGAGATGTGTTTACGCATATCTATCCATTATGTGTTAGGCAAATAAGCACTATGTTTATAGAAAATTACTAAATTTGAACATCCATGAATGAATATCCTGTTAATAAACTTAAAATGCATGTTTTACATTGTAACGGCCAGAGTATAAGCAAGCCAAAATTTAGCAATATTCCTAAGACTGAACAACTTTATAGTCTATATACTAAGGAATTGTTGTTCAGTTTTACAAAGACAATCGTTGGCTTTTTATACATTAACCGTTAAATATACTTATATACATAAATTATATCCGCTAATTACATAATAATATTAATTAGTGAAGTGTTGCCGTGCCATACGGGTGGCCTGCCAATTTGGCAAAGTAAACATTGATGAGGCTGACTGCACATGGTTAAGGCGATTCATTCTCAGTTAGTCATTTGGCATAATTATTATTTAACAAATAATTTAAGTTCTGTGCTCTTCCATTATTTATATTGGTATTGCCTTGACCAAAATATTAGAGAGAGTCTCTTGGAGAGAAAATCTTCGCCTAATCCCGGACATGAGGGCCCATTCTGAAAAAAATATTTTTCATTATTATCTAGTGTGTATTATGTATATTACTTGCTTTTACAACCAACTTAATTTTCCGCATATACTTAATATTTTTTATTTTAAATTATAAAAATATTGAAAACTCAAATGTCATTATTTACTGATTACTGAAAAGAAAGAAGTATGTCATTTTAAAGTTTTCCGCATATGTCATAAAGTTATTATAGATAATAAATAAATGCAAAATACAATATAGTGAAATACGGCATCACACTATAGGATGTAAAAAATATCCTCCCTATAATTAATTATTAATCCGGTTGATTTTATAATGTAAATAATATATATGTAAATTTGTTTAAAGTTTAATTATAATAGTCCAATGGTAGATACATATTTGTTCGTCCACGTTTTATTCCATACGAAAGTATTGCCGTCTGAAGTTATTGTTATTCAAGAATTTGCTTATACTGGCTAAATTATTTTTACTATTTCTCATTTGACAAGGCCAAATTTTAATACTAAAGTCAAAGTAATAAATAAATTTTCAATGTCAACAATTTTATGAGTCAATTGACAGCACTATTGGCCTTCGAAGTACATTTTTAACGCCCTTATATCTGTAGCCAGATATCGTCCCTTTAGCTTCTAAACAGTCCATCCATATTTTAAATGTTGGACTTCAATTATATTTTGTTTGTCTTGCCCAGCTTGCATGTTGTATATAGTAGTATCTTATAAAAGAAGATTTTATCATGTTCTTGTTAAATTTTGTTATGGGTAGTGTAATATTATCAATTTTCTTTTCAAAGTTATTTAACTATTTATTCCATACATTGGCTATGTCGTGTAATTGCCGTAAAAAGATCTTGTAAATATCGTAAGGGCTTTAAACAAGTAACTCATCTGTGTCACAAAAAAAACTCTTTACAGAGATTGACGATTAATGTTGTTAGTTTAAGAAAGTATACGGTATAACACGGCTGAGCTGATACGTAAAAAGTAAGTGTAAGCTTACAAAAGAATTAATTTTAATAGCCAAATGAAACGTCTTGAAAGTTAGCAACAACCGGCCAGTGTAAAACATCCACTAGGAGTAAGAAATTATTCTGGTCCTCTTCGGAAATACCCTCCAAAACACAATAAAATTTAGTAATTTTAGTCTACATTCGGGCCAGATGACATTCTTATGAACTATTTCGGTCTGAACTGATTCAATCAGTCCAAACTAGAAATATTACCGTAATTGTAATAAAAGTTAGTTGTTTGTACCAATGTTGTGTCCAGGGAACGATAACATAGTTCCCAGTCCCTGGCCCAAATGTGTAAAGCCGTCTTACATAATTTGTCCTATGATTAACGTCCATCTATTTGAAATGGTTTTAGCATTAAGTAATTCTGATTTTTATTATTAAATGCCGATGTCATTTTGTCCAAATTTTCCAATACAGAATATGTGCAAGGGCGTCCTTATTCAATGCAGGCATTTTAAAAATTATTTTCACTTAATGTATAATGTATTACTTTGTTATTATTAAATACGTATAATTATATGTATAATAGTAATATGTAACCATTTTGCATATAGGTTTACAAAACCTTGTTGAAAACTGTTATTTCACTTAATTTTTGTCAATTAATGTGTCAAAATGGCGTTAATTTTATTTTTCATTAAGAATCGTCAATTGTTTTATGTGTATTATACAAAATCAGTAGAAACTCATTAAATATGTCAAGTTATTTGGTCAATTCAAAAGTAAGTGTCCTTTTGTTGCTCAGGGAAAGTGTTTTTGTGGATTTTTTAATCGCTTTTTACTCATTAAAATGCTCAATATTGTGGTCATGATATTAGAAGATTAAATTTCGCTTTGCATTTTAATTTATTTCTTTATTTATTTAATCCATTGTACATAGCAACTCGTTTAAATTAGAACTTCAATGGGTTGTTACTAATCAAAATTATGTAAACGACGAAACTGTAATCAGACATTGGATATGTAGTTCTAACTTACTGAATATTTCATCGTCGCCTACACACATTACATAATTGAGAAATCACATTTTTATATATTTGTCTTTCAATTCTTATTGACAATTCGCTTGCCTCCCCTATGCGCATAGTATAAATTTTATTATCAATATTAAAATTAAAACCAATTTGATAGGATCACACAGTTAAAGTTATTGTTACCACTAGTTTAAGCACTATCAATTGTTTTATTGTAATAGTAACATTTGAAAGTTACTAACTATATTGTTTGTCACGGAGATTTTCTTATGTTAGTCGTTTTGGGGAAGTTGTTGATAATTGAAGTGGGATATTGTGAATGATGCATTCCATTCGTCTGAACCGTTGATTTAGCACTGTTCATCGTCGCACCCATTACGTGAATAGTGTAAATGTGAATTATATTTTTACAGACATTGAATATCCAGTAGGCAAAGGTCTAATATCTGTTCGGTCTTTTATTTGAGACAATTGTTTTTACGCTCAAGTTGTCTCAAGTGTAATTGACGGCACATTTTTTAGACACGTATTTACAATTTTCTGACCACTTAAATACTTAATATATATATAATATTATATTATAAAACGATAAGATATCTATCTAATGTAATTAAATCAACATTTATATACTGTAATATACTGTCACAAAGGGAGTAAAATGTTACTCGTTTGTTACCGAATAAGTTATTAGGATGTTTGGACAGAAATATTTGTATTTTGTCACGTTTATACAAAGGAAAAAAATATCTCAATAAAGTATCATAGTCCACATTGTACAGCATAGACTATATTTAGAATCTAGTGACGTCATCTTCTCTTAAATCCTAGTTAGTGATATATTAGGAGTACTAATTTCCAAATATATATCGTTCTTTGCGGCATGACAAACTGACCACTCTCGTTGTTTTTATATGTTATGTTTGCCAAGGTTTAATTAAGTGAATATCACTCAGGTTGTGTTGACCCCGTATTTTAATCTAAACAATGAATTTGGCCTATTTTATTTAAATCAAATGTTATCCAGTGGCATTTTGTCATGTGCAAACCTAACACGTTATCTTACTTAACATAGCTGATATTATAGCGGCTTAAGGCGGGCGTACATGATTTTTACCTTATATTAATTTTTAGATATAGATCTTTGAGTTTGTATGCTGATCAAATGTTATTGTAAATTTGCTGTACAGTAATCAGTGGTCTGCCGCCCCCGCGCGTCCGGGCTCGACATCGTCCTACCAAGACTGTCGATTAACCGAACAATTGAATATTATGTATTATGTCAATGTAAATAGAGTACGAATTAGAAATTTAGACACGTTAAGGGATATAATCGTAGCGTTATTTTTATTTGTTTATTATTATGAGGAGGGAAATATTGAATTTGATGGAACGTTGTGTGGCGGTTCGGGCCGATAGCGCGGCGGCGGCTCCCGCGTTCCGGCGCGATGAAACAATGCTGCGATATTCCACGTGCCCTCGAAATATCAGTGCATTATAAATATGAGTCAAGATGTATAGACAATGCGGTAGTGTTAATGTGTATAGATGCGTTATATAAGCTCGAGTCGGGCGGACGAGAGACCGAAACTTGCCAGCCGGTTCGAGCGAACGACGACTAGCTATGAATCCTGACATCGGCTCACGTTAATTAGCTTTTAAATATTTCATCAAAATATAAAATAAACAAAAAAAAATGGATATAAATTTCTCGACCAAGTACTGGTTGTTTTTAAATTATTAAAATGTAAAAAAAAATTAGAGTATAAACAAAGTATAGGTACAATTTATGAATTATACTTTTCCTTTCGGCGTTTCCTGTGACAGTGGAAGAGACTTAGCCTTATTGCTACTCAAAGTGTTCATTATTTGAACAAAACAAAGCATACTTATTGGAATTGCCTTACAGTCAAATGTTACTTATAATTATAATTTCATTTGCTCATGGCCTCTTCCATTGCTTTTTATTTTTGTTTGTCAACTATCTATGTGTATAGTATGATTTTGTTAAGGCAGGGTAATGCAGACATGAGAAGAGGTACTTTTTTTATTTGATTGATGATATGTTTGAATGTTTAAATTGAGTTGATTTTATCCATTCAATGGAATTGTATTGTTAGAAAGGAGCCAGAGTTTGTTGTTTTTATTAAGTAAAAATTAATTTCGATTATAAATGAGGCAGCAGATTAGTTAATGATTAACTATCAAGTTACCACAGAGTCCATAGTCAGAGGTAAGCTCTCTTTGGCGTTGCCCTTTCCGTGCAGGCTTCGATAGGTCGCAGATGCGAACGAAGTTGTAAGAATAGTCAGTATTACATCATGCAATAAATATGAGCTGAAGAGAGGTTGTGAAGAGTATCGTTATAAAAGGTACCTATTCAAATCTGGATAAACAGACTAACTTAATCATAAACGATAGATAGTGATGCTGCAATGTGCATTTATGCCATCTTCATTTTATTTGAATTATGGGATCAGTGCCAAACTTTCTCCTTCTTTTTAGCTCAAAATGATGCAATTGTTAGCATGCTTGAAGAATCAGCTAAGTAATTGTTTAGTTAGTCTGCCATTTTGTGAATATTTTGTTTTGATAGTAATATGTAAATCTTTTATAATATATTTGTTTACAATAAATGACAACATTATAAATAAATGAAATTGTATTTTCCATTTAAACTGATGAAAAAAATATAAAAAGAATAATATGCAATGATATTTGTCGTTTAATTTATTTACCTGAAGAGACTATAGTTACATTAGATATGGACATATAATTTGCAGAACACGTTGTTATCCTGGTAAGGCCGCATCGCAATTTTTATTGCCATACAGTTATGAGCAATTGCAAAAGATAATAAATGGTGATAACCCTATCACATTAAACAATTGCTTGTTCATGACATGTAAGAGGCATAACCTTTTTTAATCTCACTGTTATGGCGAATAAACTCATTGCCCACCTGATGGTATATTGTAACCATGGCATTTACATATGACATCACGTTATCATGTAACGCCCCTTTCACCATTCATGGTTGCGATCCCAAATAAGATTGCATGCCTCAATATTTTCATTGCCTTATGCCACCCTTCAACCAAAACAAGCTAACTGGCTAAAATGTGTAAGACTCGTCTGCCTCGGTACAATTTTGGTTTTAATAAATTATATGATTTATTTTCAAGATAACTTTAAGGCTAGTAAAGGCGACGGTTACCACATATCATCAAGTGGGTCGTCAGCTGGTTATCATTCCAATTAGGTACATAAAACGATAATAAGAAGTAATAATTTCAATTTCAAGACTATTTCAATCTAGGTAACATTGTCATTGGTAACACCAATGACAATGTTTGATTAAGCTGATTTGTGAATCGGTATAACAACTTGTCTGGAGTTAGACTTTAGTATTTGTACTAAAAAAAATTAATTTGCTCTAAACAGTATATGAAACCGTAAAATATGTTGCGATAAAAAATGGCTATTCAAAATTAAAAAGTGTTCTATGAAGTTACATATTACAATAATTATTATATTTTATTAACATTCCTTATAAATTGTGCTAAATTCTCGATTTGGCACAATTTCAAATGTCGATTTGGTCACACTAGTGCTTTCTGACATATCAATTAGAGCTGTAGTAACTCTTAATAAACATGACTCGAGTTAACTCGAATTACCTGAATATCAACTCGGTTTTTTGTTCAAACTATTCTAATGTTGTTAGCCGTAGCTGGCCGGGCGAGTGGAAATGGCACTCCAAAAATCTAAATCCGCGGAAGGACTAATGGTGCGCATCCAGGGCTGCAAATAAACTCCTCTTATTTGAGTGCTATTTTTAAATATTTTTAGTGGCTCGATTGTTACCACTATTATTTATGTTGTGTTCGTCTGGTACGGGCAGCGACAGGTGGAGGAAGATGAAATAATGAATCTAGTGGTGACAATGTACAAATGTATATACTTGCGTTATTTACAATGGTTGGATGGTTTAACTGTAATATACGAATATTAAATATATGAGAAATATATAAACAGAAGCGATTAGGTCCCAATCAGACTTGTTATTTTTCGTTCCCCACTGTCGCTAGGCAACGGTGTTGCCGCGCGCTATCCCTAAATGCACCACATATTATTCAATAATGAGATCGTATTTCCTGCATATTTAAAACGAATCCTAGCATTTTTTACATTTTTCATGTTGACTCACTGGCGATTCGAAAATGTCTCTAACAAGAAATTTCCATTTAAGTCCTGGCATTTATAAAAATGTACCTACTGTGTACTTAAAAATTTGTTTGTTATTTACACCAGTTGTTGTCTTTACGACAAATAATGACAATGCTACTTTAATGATTTTAATGTGTCAATATTGTGAAATTGTATGATATGATCGGAAAACTTCATTTCATTGTCGTTTTCATTTGGTAAATGCAACGACCACATTATGCTCTCGCTCTTTCATTTGATTCGTGCATTTACTGTTTGAATTCTCCCAACTCGATTTTGAGGAATTCAGAAATTCAACTCGAGTTAACACGAGTTAGTTACTTGAATTGACACATCTCTAATATCAATAATTTTTACATTTCGTTGATTACTAGAAAAAATTCTTTCTTCAATTGTATAGTCCATTAAAAATATAAACTCATGATTCATTTCAAGGATAGTAAAAATAAATCAGCATTAAGTACAAGATGGGCTCAAATGTCGAAACAAGAGCAAATAATCGAAAGAAAAAAGATGGAGATCCAAGCAAAGCTAGAGGCTCAGAAACAAGCTACTGCTCTCGCCGCTCAAGCCAAATTGTCTAAGTAAATATTTACCACTGTGAAACTATTAATTTTTATATCTTTATTAATTAAGTTTACGCAGTGATTAATAATATTGGACATAGTTACACTCATTCGGTATAAATCTTGCATAAATGAGAAAATGAAAAATTCGACCGTAAGGAGGATAAAGCAAATTCTACCCTTTTTCTTTTTTATATTTAGGCCTACTTATTTCCAAAAGAAAGTTAAATTGTATATTTTATATCAAATTTTGTAAAATGACAATTTGAATGAAAAAAGTCTTAGGCAGGAGACATTTTCGATATAGACTTTGTGAAAAATCTTCTGCTTGGGTCCTTACATCCACGTTCCTTACGTGCGGGTGGGACCTCAATCCCCCCTAAATCAACACCCGGCGGCTTGCTTTGTAAGCTGTATTTTAATTGTGTATGATGGCAGAGACTTTGATATAGTCATAGGGAGCAATGTAGTAATAGTGATTGTTGGGATATATTAGTTATTATAGTCACCATATAAACCACTATACTCACTCAAAATATATATTTCTTTAAATCTTTTTTTAATAAAATAAAAGAAAATTACCAGTACATTATACATAGAAAAATATTGGGGGTTAAAAGAATATAAAAGGAAACAATACATTTGTGTACCTCTTCCTTTATTTAAAGGCTGTTGAAAGCAGTAGGAATGCTTCGCATCTTTGATTTTGAGCGACATTATATTATTTGCTTTTTATTTTTAAGTTGCCAGATGTTGTATTTGCTTGTCTTATACAAGTCTATTGTAAATTAACAAAACATCTTTTGTGCTTGCTTCCTTTAATGCGATTGGTGGACATAAGTAAGAGTAGTGTTAATTATGGCACAGAATTATGGTCCTTAAGGGTGTCAGGACTATTGTCAAAAGTATGTACTTAAAAAAATGTATTCAATTAATAGAATCCATTAGTTATCTAGTACCAATAATATAAGCTTTATTTACTTGGGACAAGATGGTGCAGTGTGAACTTAGGGTTAACCAGGGTTATTATTATTTTTATTTAAAACAGCACAGATTCATTTGAATTTGAATAAGTAGTCATGCACACTAAAATGTCCAGACTAGTGGTGGCGTGGTGGGCCGGGTCATTGGGCTCCCTAAAATATGGTCAAACACAGTGATGGGTGGCTCGTCCGTAATACTCGTGAATGAGTGCTCCTTGCAGGGACTGGTCTGCTCTTATCACTATAACTTAATCTTATTGTATATTTATATTTGACCCTAATAAATTAGTGTTGGTTGGTAGTTTGTATTCATGTTTTAACTTGTAAATGTAAACTTACAAGGATTATTTAAAAGAGGAACACAAAGTTTCTTGCTCATTTTTCTTGTGATGAGACAGCTTTCCAAACTAGTGGTAGATAAAAAAAAATATGACTATTCAAAAGTGCTTAAATTAAGTTTATTTGAATGATTGCTTTTCTATTCTGTTCTATTTATTATTATTATTATTATTATATCTCTTTGACATTGCGCTGTGTTTCTGTGTTCCTTTGTTTCGGTTGTATGGTACATTTAGGCTATGAAATTACTGAGTAAGCGGCAAGACATCTTAGTTGCCTGTAATGGCAATGCTTGAGTGCTACATGATAATATGAAGTATGTGGTGCTGTTCATGTATATAATAATAATTGCCTAAAATAATGATACTAGGTATCTTATCCAAACCAAATCTACTGTTTCGGTATATTTGGATCTGTGAACAGAATTTATTTCATTGAACATTTACTATTCCATAATAAAAGAATATATGATAGAAATGGCTGTTTATTTAAGGTTTGCATTTACAAATGTATGTTTAGGTCTGTAGTAATATACTGAGCTCAACTAGATTATAATATGGTATATATCACATTATAATGTCTATTTTAGCCCTAAAGCTAAGGATGAGAAAGGATCAAACAATATTTTCTCAAATGATGGTAGCTTTATGAGCCAGTTCAAAGCACTGTTAGAGAAACAAAAACAGGATAAAAAGGAAAAAGAAGAGAAGGAGAAAGAAAAAAATAATGAGGATGAGAGAAAAGCAGACAAAATAGCTAAAATTAAAGAAGAATGTTCTAGGGATGATAAGGATTATGATGAAGGACAGTCTTTTCATGATGATGATAGAAGAAGACCTATTGATAGAGGGCAAAGGTGGGTAATAGGGAATTCATAATAGATTTTATTTGCTTTTTAAATATAATTAGTATGTAGTATTTAGAACCCCAAAACTATTTTTTGTCTATATATTGGAGGCTAGGATGGAAACATCAAAGATACACAATTGAAAAGTAGCCATAAAAATAATTTACATTAGTACAATTGGTATTTATCTGGGTTTTTGAAAGTTTAACTTATTTGAAGTGTACTTAAGTGCATTTAAAAAAATTAATTAATATATAAATCTTAGAAACTGCCTGAAATTATTTCTATTTTATACATGTATATACAATATGTTAACCTGGTCATTGTACTTGAATAAAATTTTATTTCATAATGATTGTTAGAGATAATATTAGATACCTCCCTGTATCTAATAATACTTGATGAGTGAGAAGTTTGACTTAATGAAAGAAAAATGGGGATAATTAAAAATATAGGACTTGTATGACAGTGATATATTCATAGAAAGCTATAAAAATATTGTGTTAATAAAATACAATGACTTAATTTAACGATAATATAGAAATGCGTCTAGGAGTTCCCTACAATTGTATCTAATGTTGTGTAAAATGTTTAATGCAGGGACAAACGGAGATGGAGCGACAGAGGTCGAAACCGTACACACAGTCCAATGACTCCAGTTATTGAAGACAGAAAGCAACTTGTTGAAAACAAATCTATCATACCTTTAATGCAAATTCCTATTAGACCCCCTGATGACCAAAATTCTGAAACTAGCCATAGTGAATGGAATAGGCAAGGAGGCCCAAGCTCTGATGATGAGTCTGATAATGGTAGAAACTTAATGGGCCCTGGTCCAATGGCACCCGGAGTTATAGGTCCTGGACCTATGGGCCCTGGACCAATGGGTCCTGGACCAATGGGTCCTGGACCTATGGGCCCTGGACCACTGGGTCCTGGACCAATGGGTCCTGGACCAATGGGCCCTGGACCAATGGGGCCTGGAGCAATGGGTCCTGGACCAATGGGGCCTGGTCCAATGGGCCATGGACCTATGGGTCCTGGTCCTATGGGCCCTGGTATGGGTCCAGGTCCAATGGGTCCTGGACCTATGGGCCCTATGGGTTCCGGCCCGATGGGACCGGGTTCAATTATGGGTCCAGGTCCTAATATGCGATCGGGTCCTAACATGGGACCGAGTTCTAACATGGGTCCGGGTCCTAACATGGGAGGTTCTCCTAATATGGGTCCAGGCCCCATGATGGGCCCTGGTGGTCCTAACATGCCTCCGATGCCTCCCTTTATGAGACCTCCTAATTTTCCAATGCCACCAAATTTTATGGGCCCAAATGGCCCTGGTGGACCTTGTGGGCCTGGTCCTATGCCTCCCAATATGTGTGGTCCTAATATGCCCGGACCTGGACCAAATGGACCTCCATTTTTCGGTCCGCCGTTTCCTAATCCGTCGCTTATGGGTCCAAACGGCCCTCCTAATTCAATGATGCCACCAAATTCTATGAATAATAATGGCAGGTCGTTTATGGGCCCCAGACCTCCTTTTGGTCCCAATGGCTCAAATTTTGGACCAAATGGAAATGGCCCCCCTAATGTGCCGTTCATGCCTCCAAAATCTATAGCACAAAATTCTGTACCCCTACCTACTATTCCTGAACCTAAGGCTTTAGATACAGTTAATATTCCACCACCTGAACCCTTGAAGCTTCAAAATATTCCCCCACCTATGTCACTCCCTCTTAATATACCAAAGCCAAATGATATAGATCTTGGAAATATACCTGTACCACCAAACACTTCTCAAGGTAATAATTGTTGATTCATTATTTTTAATTATGTGCCTTTATATTATTATTTATATTTAATAAAATAATTGTATAAAGGCTTTGTTCTTAAGCTAAGAGAGTGACAAGTTCTCTGTTAGTACATTAATTACTATTAATATAATTTATGACAGAAACACATTGATAACAAATACAAACTAAATGTATAAAACAAGTTGAATTATTAATCAAAGAACTTGTGTTCTCTTAGTAGAAATATCACTTAGTTACTGAGTTATTGCGGGTCGTACGCGTGGCCAAAAGACAAAATGCTGACCCGTGGTGTGCAGTTCTCTCTGCAGATACGTTCCCGCCATCAGTGCAGCGTGCAGCCAGCGAAGTCGCCTGCAACGGTGACCACTGGGAAAATGTCCTGAAAGCAATACACTCACAAGATCAAACTATGTGGTAATGCCACTGTAACCAGTTTTGATTCCAACAGGAGGATACGTGCTGTATTCTTTTTATATTACAATCATATTTTTTCCTTTAAATTATTAGTGGAATATTGTTGAGTTTATCGTGTTTTGTACCAGAATATCTATGGCTTACATTTTTATGAGAATGTTTTAATTAAAAAAAAGGCTAAATTCCACTCTGATTTAAATCTTCCAATTTATAATAGGTTCTTTTTATTAATAATAGGTATAGATAGCAAATGAAGAAATCTCTTATAAATCATGAATGTGGCTTCACAACAATTTTTTTTTAAGTGATAATAAAATTTTCTTTCACTAAGTATATATGTAACGTTGGTAGCGTTAAATGGTCAAAATTACCATATGTTGTGACAAAAATCTTATTGTTACTATTGTATTAGAATAGTTTTCCCCATGCCACTCAAAATCACCGATGTCAATGTAACTGGCAATTATTAATCCTTTTACATTTTTGTACTTTCTGGGGTTCAAACTTCCATGAAAATTTAAGCCTGTCTTAAAATACAATCTGAGTTAGTCTTTATAAAATGTCGCCTGCGTCTTTTGTAAGATGTGTTTTGCTTGAGATAAGTTAGTAAAATTACAGATAGAGAGCCATGACGTTTTTGTCCTTCGGAAAGGCAACGCATGAGTAGTACCACGTGCGTCACATGGTAACATTATGTCTGCAGTGCTGTTCATGTATATAGGCAATGGTTACCACCACCAACGTGGTTCTATTCACGTAAAAAAATTCAATGTCAACGTCGATTCGATTTTAAGTTTTCTAATCTTATATTTTTTTACGAATTATATTATAATAATTCCTAAGTATATTTTGGTGTAATACTGTTATATAGTTCGTACACTGTATTAAATAGTTCGCAGTAATAAGAATAAGTATAGAATAATTAAATCTGTTTTAAAATAACAGTTAATGCTTGTTTTTGAATTATCTGTGTAGCAATCCTCACAAATTTTGGCGTTTATTGCTCAAAAACAAACTATTTAACCCATATGGGGCCATAGATATGTGGGTCATAAAGACAATTACATAAATGATAACGGCGGAAATTCCATTTCCTATTCTATTTTGATATCTAATTTGACTAATTCCTCTATTCCACTATGATATTTGCAGGTTGTTAAACCTGAAGAGTAATCCTTAATATTTATTTTCTTTAGGTTTCGGAATATTGTATTATGGACGTTTTTGCAGGTTTCTACACAATACAAACTCTAACGAGTATAAGGCGTTCAGAGAACTAGTGATCGAAATGCGAAATGAAGGACCCATGGATACTAAACAAGAGGTAAAACCGGAGGATAAATATGAACCAGAGTTCTGTTTGGAGGATGATGAGAGTAGTGAAAGCAGACATATGAATGATGAAAAACGGGATAAGTAAGTGATATTTTTATATAATTAAATAAATAATATAATATAAAACATTTAATTTTATTTTTGTCATATATAAACTCAATAAATAATTAGGTAAACGATTTTAAAATTTACTTTTTTTTTAAGTAATTTAAAAAGCTATTTTCAATAATTGCATTAATGCGAAACCATGGCGAGTCGCTAGTGTCATGTACTTGATAAGATTCGGAGCTATCTTTATATAGCAATGAGTTGCCATCTGTTCCGATTCCGTCCAGATGAATTGTTTTGATGTTAATCTATGTATCAAAAATAAAACGTTCTTAATGCTGAAAGAATTTTTGAAATGAAAGCTGCAGAATTTGCTAACATTATCTTCCAAATATACACTAAACTTGTAACATTTTCTAATAATATTACTTTAACCTGTTAATGAAATAGTTAAATTCAAGATTGTTTTACAGTCAGTACTTGTATATTAACTTGAACTTAGAACAAGATTCAAATATTTATGAATATTAATCATAAAGAAGTTGTTAAATATATTTTGATCAAATGACATGGTTGTGTTTTCAGTTTCTTAAACTGGGACCAACACGGTGTCAAACGGGAGCAAACTAGCTCCCAAAGCGACGAGGAACCCGACTCGAAGAGGGAACGTAGAAGGAAGAAGAAATCACGCTGGGGTGAAGACCCGCCTGCGGCAGATATCAAGCCCCCAGGTCTGATGGCGCCACTACCGACTGCATTACCCACAGGTATTAAAGTTAAAGTATGCTGTTATGTTTAAGTAGTATTTTATATTCCGTTTATAGTCCTATTTTCAGACCTAGTGAATATACACTCATAATTTAAGAACCGTCAAGCCATTACGCAAGGGGTTCTTTGCAAATGTTTTTGACATGAGTATTTTATAGATAGAGATATCTAATATATCATTTTTATATGTTAAATGTAGGAATTCTCAAAATTAATATGTAAATACATTATTGTTTTGTGACTGCATACTTTTTTTCACTTGTTTGGTAAACATAACTACAATTGAGACTAGGTGGCTGTGTGAATTATCCATAGTTCTTTATATATTTATTTATAGAAGTATAATTAGAAACACTAGATAATAATTTGTTTACCTACTTAATGTCTCTAACAATAACAATATTGCTGCAATAAGTAAAATTAATATATTTAAAGATGGTTTCTATGGAGAAACCATCTTTGTTAGAATAGATATGGTATCTATTCTAACAAGTTCAAGAATGTTCTTTTAAGTAACTGGAATCTTAAGCAATCTGACGACGCACCTGATGGTAAGCGACATCCGTTGGGTGCATACATGATTGGAACCACGGATTTCACGTTATCATGTACCTTGCGTTGCTATTTAATCTGATTAAGAACTAATGTCTCCATGTAATATAACTTTAATCTTTCAACCAAAACATAGATTACAAAGCAAGTTGGGTGAGACAGTGGTGGAAACACATACAACTTTGTACAAAATCTTTTTTGTTTTACTCATAAGTAATATTATAATTAAGTAATAGGTAATTATGCATATATTTTGTTTAAATTATTCATGTAACCGCAGGTCCTAAATTAGCTAAAATTGATGAAGATGGATTAAAACTAACAAATGTGAATCGTAACAATCAAGCCTTGATGCAATATGCGGTAACAAACTATGGAACTACTAATCTGAGTCCTGAGGATTGGAAGAAGTGTGAAGACAACTTCAAACTTAATCTTTTATATCAGGTATTATGTAGACAATAATAAATTAATATTAACATTCACGACTGTTATCGCGAATGGAGTAGAAGCAATGTCAGTTGTTGAGGTCATAATGAACGTAATAGTTGACATGTTCAATTGTATCTCAAAGTTTTGGGTTTAAATAGGATCGTAAACAATAGGCCACCACACTCAATAAATATAATATTTCTCATAGGACATGTTGAAGAAAAGACAAGAAGTAGAACGGTTAGCAGCTGCTGGAAAACATAAATATGAGTATGACAGTGATGAAGATACCTCAGAAGGCACATGGGAGCACAGGTTTGTATTAATACATATTTATAACTTCTATTTACATTATATTTTTTTTATATTACGATTTACAGTATATTTTTCTCTTAACTCAAGCGGCTTTCTATCAAAATAAAAATAATTAAATAATGTTAAAAGCTATTTTTAAAAATAAGATAATTATACAAAATTTTTACTCATTGACTAAGAATGCATGAAGAATCATTATTAATTATTTTTAAAACTGGTAATTTATTATTATTATGCGTGTTTAGTAATTTACGTGACAAGTTCATAAATATTATTATATGGAATACTAATAAAATACGTAGATGTTAAAAGAAGGAACGATGAAATATATTTATATAGAATGTGGAACTACAATAATTAAAGGGGGTGTTGCTTCCTTTATAGATGGAACGCCACATTTATAATAATAAATACTGTAGAGGGTCAAGTTGTATATCTATTAATCTTCACGTCAAATCGGGATAGGCGGAGAGATCCTCGGCTGTCGTATGTATAAGTTAATGGAACTAAAATTTTTACATAAATTTCAGGTTACGTGCGAGAGAGATGAATGCGACTGAGAGGTGGGCAACCGAACTGACGAAACAGGCTGCCGGGAAGCATCACATTGGAGATTTTCTACCACCAGAGGAACTGAAAAAGTAATTAGTAATATATTTTTTAAAATAAAATACATAATTCGAAAGTTTTACAAAATTTAACTACCTATAAGGAACATATTACTTATACAGAATGACCTTTATAATATTTGAAGAGCTTCTCTTTTTTTAAAGTAATTTATAAACATTGGCTATATGTACATATATCAATTATTACAGATTCATGGAAAAGTATTCAGCATTCAAAAGTGGCAAGGAGCCAGATTTGAGTGATTACAAAGAATTTAAACTAAAGGAGGACAACGTTGGTATGTATGATATGTATGATAATACATATATACCTATATATAAATCTATATCATTATGAAATATGATTTAACGTATACGTTAGTACCGTCATGTCAAACATGTCGCCTCACGAGCCGCATCCGGCCCTCGGCCTGATCAATAGCGCATATTTATCGCATATGTATTTAACAACTGTATATTACATACTATATAATTAAATAAATAAAATTTTGTAATAATTCAGTACATTTTGATGTGAATAAAATTTGATCTTACTACATACATAGATAAATCATGCCTTACAATTAACTCATCATAACTTTCACCCGAATTAACTGCTTGCGGGCAGCGCATCATGTTATGATTTGGCTGTAACTTTATATTGAACTTAATGTTTTTTTGTTAGGTTTCAAAATGCTCCAAAAACTTGGCTGGAGCGAGGGCCAAGGACTTGGTGCAGAAGGCACTGGAATAGTTGAGCCTGTGAACAAGTAAGTAAAAAAGCTAACGGGTAAAATTCAAGATAACTGGTATGCTGTGACACTCTGAAATAAATGTGGCTAATTGCCTATGCCGATAGATAGAGGGGAGATGTTAATGGATCCATTTCTAGTAATGTCACTTCGACCTCCACGCGATTCGCCCTGGAATTCGATTTCAATTCCTGCTAAGTTTGCCACCATAGTTTAAATGACCTTATTTCATGCTCATCCTATCGTCCTCCATAGTACATACGTACATACTTTACACACATTTTTTATACTTAGTTTTAATTAATGTACTTACATGGTCATTTTGATAAGTGTTTATGAAAATGTGGCAGTAATAACAAACATAATATATTTTTATTTAGTTTCCTTATTATTTTATTATCTTATTATTTTCACTATAGTGTAGCAATTAGTAAAATTTTACAACTGTTTTTCTATGCAAACAGGGCAAATCAGCCTGTTGCGAACCTTGGTCTTGGGGCATCAGCATCAGATATCGTGTCGCCCCAAGATGACGAGTTTGACGCTTACAGGAAAAGAATGATGCTTGCATATAGATTCAGGCCAAATCCATTGGTAAGTCTAACATCGTGCCTAAACATTTTTTGTCCTCGTATGCCACCCATATCGTTATACAAATAAAAAATTGTAAATTAGGTACTTTGTATACAATGTTGTTCAGATTATGTGACTGTCTTCTAACCGCAAGAATTGCAACACTTCCTTCAAATCAAATGAAGTCTGTTGTGAAGGATCACAAGCTAACAGCTTGTGATCCTTGACCATGGAATGTCTGTTGTCTCTTTCGGATTTCATGTCATGGAAAGGATTGAATACTGTTTTTAGGATATAAATATGAGGCTTAATTGTAAGCAAACATCCGTAGCAAACATCTGTTTGAATATAAATTGCAATATGTATTATATTATTTTGCCAAGGCATTTGTTAATTTTAGTAATAGATACATAAATATAATACATTACCGACAATAGATTACTTTGTTTTTAATGATATTTTATATAACCATACATTTTATTTATTTCAGAACAATCCAAGAAGACCTTATTACTAAGAAGATTTTAGTCCTCTTTTAGACAATGTAGTTAATATTACAATGTATGAATAATGCTTTTATTGTGTCCTTTCATTAATCTGTATAGATAGACAAATGTATCTACTCTAAGATTATAATTGTTAAATGGTAACACGAATTTTAATGTAGTTGTCACAATATTGTTAATATAACAAATATTATTTGGAAATTATAACAAACTGTAACATATACCAATCTGACAATTATTAAAACTGTTGTTTTATGCGCAATGGTTATGGTAAAAGGTATGACAGTTTTATTGTGTACTATACATATACAAACCATAATTGGGTAGGTCAATGCACATTTAAAATAGAAAAAAATGTTTACACAGTCTTTAGTATTTACACAAAGCTGTGTATTCCGAAGAAAATTTGACTGCCAAACGATTTTCTAAGATTGTAAGACTGGTATGACATAAGCGAGACTTTATAATGCGCTGTTAATTATATATAATAATATCAGAAAAAAATAATTGGTGTTTTGTCATTCCAATGTATTATCTCCACGTCATTGTACTGTGATTAGATTTGGCGTAATGGACTTTAATCTACAAAAACTTCCGCATTTATGATTTGAGAAGTTTGCAAAAGAGAACTTATTGTAAAATGGTAATAAATTAAGCCACATGTTAATCGGGGCCCTCCCTCATTTGTTGCCAAAGTGTGTCATTCTATAAGATGGGATTGGAGGAGTCGCAAAGTTCGAGTAAAAAATCATTGAATCTAGGACCTTATCCCTGTAGGGTTTGTGAAATCACATTTCAATTATTACTGACAGTGGTGTTACGTAATTTATCTATGGCTCCAAGTAATGTTTTCCTATTATAGGAAAATTAATTTAAGTATTTACAATATCTCTATAAGTAATTAAACTAATACATACTATTTTGCGTAACTTTTTGAAACACGTAATGGCTAATAGAATACATAGCACATTATTAGGATATGTTTAGTTTATAAACTTAATTTTTAAATTCCGCATTATCTGTTGTTACCTTGAATAAAAATTTAAAAAATATTTTTATGTTTCTTTCATGACATCACCAAAAATTTGGCTATATGTTGTTGGCCTATATATTGTACTGTAAGTGTACATTACAAATAGCACTTCTAATTAATAAAACTTCGACATTTTTTATTTTAAATTGAAAGCCTCTATAACCTTATAGTACATGTAAAACTTTTCTCTTTATTTTTAATTCTAGAGTGTCATCATTTATTATTTTTTATATAAAATAAATAAGGACATGCTAATCTAAAATTGAAAATGGGTTTGAAGAAGGTTTTTTAGATTTTATGAAATTATCCCCTTACTAACATTCCCCCGGGCCAAAGCTTATGCTTGGTAGGCACTTACGTAGGAAAAAATATCAGAGACCACTCGCCCTGGGTGTACTGAGAGTCTTCTCAATCTAGGTCGTCTCATTTCTTCAGTGGAGAATGATAAGATGAATACGAAGTCTGGTCAGTTACCCCTTAGTGGAAATTTATCAGTAATTAAATATGATATTTTTGAGGAAATGGTTACCGAGTGGAGGTAAACCTGACATATCAATGGTCCATTTATAAAAATTCCCCTAGGTTCTATTTAGAATTTAGCGTCTCAGCAGTTGCTGTGTGAGTTCTTCTTAGGTACGTTGTTCACTCATAAACTTTAAACTGGTAGGTATATACAAATAGGGCAACACAAAAATAAACGAGACAGATTAGGGTAAAATCTTATGGGTCTACTAAAAAAAGGTACTCAACAAAAAATAACTTTGTTTGCTGGTAATATGCTTACGCAATGCAGTTGTACATGGTGATGAAATATTAAAAATCTACCACGAGTATGATCTCTCTTGCTCTTACTTCCTTCACTTGTATAACTTATATACAAGTGGAGTGGACTTATATACCTATTATGGAACTAATCAGTTCGTTATTAATAAACTTGTAGAAATCACAATTTATTTTAAGTATTGAAATGAAATAAAACTATTTATAAGCGATATATTGGTACCTATACAACTTACTTACAAGTTGTTTTGCAAAAAGTCGTTGATCTGCGATATATGTCCACATATGTATTTATATAGGTAAGTAGTTACGATGTAAATATTTTGTCGTGTATTGACGTCCCATTGATATCTATACTTTTTCACAAATATATACAGGTTATCGTACGACCAATTAATGCCGAGATAAATTGCTACTAATATTACATACAATACCTACTACTGCTCTAATTTATATTCACGTGTTTTGATCAGTAATACATATGTGTTCTCTTCGGTACGACTATATATTATGTGTGCTAATTGTACAAGAGTATAGCTGAAGAAATTTTCGTTATTGTTGAAAATTTGTGCTCTTGTATAAGTCGTCAAACGATTTTTCAATCTGATCTCATACCTAGTTGCTGAATCAATTTCACCCGAATTGCCGCCTTGCTCCAATACTCGGTAAACGTCGTACTAACTGAGCTAAAACTTCGTTTAATTTTAGACACGAAGTGACAAATAGTTTGGAACTTGTGTATTCCATTCAGATTCTCAAATAATTTCTTAGTTTCGCAATGACTTCTGTGATGTCTACACATGAGACAGGTATAGAAAAACAATCGCGGCAATCGTAAACATTTTAGTTTTTTGTTGTATAACGTTGAATATTAAAATGACGGTACGGAAGAGTGCTAGTTTCACAGTGTACGATCACCATCTGAATTCCACAAGTAGTGACACATCAACTTCATCAAGTTCATCATCAGAATCCAGTGATACTCCACTGAAACGGTAAGTGACTAGCTCTAGGTAAAGTCAACTAATAATATTAATGTTCTTGCCTTATAATTTTATTATTATAGAACAGTAGAAGAAGTAATACAAGAGAAGTAAAATATATAATTATATATACATTCATTTTCTTACATTACATATACATTACATTATATATACATTAATTTCAGCGTGAGGTTAGGTTAGAATTATGAATATCCAGCTATTTTATATGAATACCTAATATATAGGTATAGGTCGTATATACAAATTAATTCTTTTCATTTGAAAAATAATATTCGATAAGTACAGCTGTATACATCTATCATCACCGCCATGACGAATATTATTTTAAAATAATATATACCTATCTTCCATGTGATTGTAGCGCCTGACATATTTTACAGTTCACGAATATGGGTCAGACAGTCATTTAATAAAAATCTTCGGTATCCTATATTTCTGACCGTGTCCTTAGTGTCAGAACAAATGTCTTAACTGTGTGCTTCTGCAATTTAAATACTTTCATACACTAATTATGTACAAGAGCATGACAAAACTTAGTCTACAAACTTAATGAATTTAAAATGCCGAAGTACGTATTTATTATAATGTATTTATCTATAAAAACTTTCATATCATTGTTTGCGTATCTACACACCGATTTTAGAAAGCAATCCCGCATTCTAAACTGAGATTAAGTTATTTGGCGAAATTTGCTCAACACAGATTTTTCTAAAACTTCGATTAAAGTTTACTTCATGGGGCGGCAAGTGTCACGTGATATACCTGGTGTTGAAAGAATGCATAAGCGGTGGTAATCGCTTACAATCAGACTTGCCGTATGTTACATTCCCAAGGTTCTTGTATAAAATAACCCTTCACAAAACAAAATATTCTTTCAAAGGTTCAACAAAATAATCCGATCTTCAGTGGCTCGCCCCTGGGCCTACTTCAGGAAAGATAGACGGAGATTGAGGAGCAGTGATCGATGCATTTCCGACTCAAACATCTCTGAATTGGTTCATAATGGTAATTTCTTATTTATTAATTTGTTTCTGAACTTAAAATTAACGTAAAATCTGGCCAATACCAAAAATAAGCTGTATGTGTCAATTTCTATATCTGATTGACTGTCCGGTGAAGAAAACACCCGACATCAGTTATGATGTCGGGTGTTGATTGTTAAATAATTATATCAAGACACGGCGGCTGTAGACTCTTTCTTTGCCATGTTGGATTCAAATTTGTGCAATATCTAGTAAAAAACGAGCACGTTAAGTGTTGCGTTCACCACATCGAAAGTCGACTCTAACAATCTCATCATCTGGGATAACTGTTGTAACTGGATGTGAAATTAATGCAAGAGACATAGGATTGAAATATTGTCATTGAAATGTGACCATGTTAAGTGTCACCTTCACCATAACATTATTATTTGGCAAGTTTCAAACAGTGTTACATATGTATGAAACTGTTAATGTTTTCAATAATTTTGTGAAGGACAGTTTTGTACAGATAATTGTAAAATAGACTGATGTTTGATGAAATTCGTAGAAGTAGCAGGTTTTTAAATTTATAATTTTATTTCCACCATTTAACCTAATTCCTATTGTATATTAGGTTAAATCTTGGAAAGGTACCTAATCGCTTACAATCAGATTAGGCGCATGCGTCTATGCCACCATTGTAGTATAAAAAAATTGATCAAATTGTGTTTTTTAAATCAAATGTATGCAGATACTTAAAAGTGATGTAATAACTGGTACCACTATTGGTATATATACAATACAATATAGATTGGACATTACCTAAATTTTATATACCTAAATTGTTCAAATATCAACAGAGGTTTCATATTATATAAGTATATATGTAGGTAGATATAATATAAATCCTGTATTGCTAGATACTTTAGTAATTAAATATGTATAAGGATTCCAATTAGCGTTATATGTACCTATTTCATTGCCTAAAATATGCAATAACATTTTATTTAAATACCTATAATACATTATTACAACAGTGAATATTGTAGTATTATAGTATTTATTATGATTAACAAAAATATATAAAATTTTGAAGGAGAAATTAAAGTCTATGTAAATTGTTAAGTTTAATTTTTACACGCCAGATGGAAAGCTTAATTTTTAGAAAATATGTATTTTATGATGCCCGTGAGACCTCTAGTGTATTGTTGTTCATAGGGGCGCACGTGTTATGCCTTCGTGTCAATTTAAAATTTGCCTACGTAGTACTACAATTCCACACTTCCAATCAAAACAGACCTTGGAAAACAAACTGTTTGAGCGCGACACTAAATGAAATAATGCAAAAAATGTAATCATGACCTTAATATAAAGGATTAAGGTCTATGTTCAATCTGTAAAGAGTTAGGTGTAATATATATGTTTTAGATTCTCATCTGGCGTATTTGGACATATCTCCGGTTACCTGCCCCCGGCGCTCACTTCAAGTTGGCAATGAACCAGCTGGGGTTATACCCACTTTGTATGTCACGTGAGTACATTACATTTTGCCTATGTTTACCTGATTCTGTATTCCAGCTGTCTAGTTGTAACTAGTATGGTAATTAGTGTATGGCATGCTAAGGTCATTATAATATATATCTACTCTATTTCATTCATAACCTCCTCGACAAATTCTCAATTAGGTGGCACACTTGGAAATATATAATCCACATTTTTTTATGTGAATGTCATAAATGGAGCCATTAAATGAAAAAAGCCCAAAGTAAATTTAAGTTTCATGTCGGCGGTTTACGGTGCTATTATTTTGGTTTTTCTGGCTAATTGGCTCTACTGTATGCTGATGCTGAGTAGGAGTTACATTTACCATAACTAGTAGATTTAAAGAAAAAAAATAGGTACTATAAAAATAAATAATGCAATGAAAAGAAGATTTGATCAGTATCGTGCCCAAAATATCGTGTGGCGTTCTATTGGTTCGCCATCACTGATTAAATAACAATTACGCACGCAATTAATTATAAAATATAATAAAACCATAAAGATATACGGCCGTGACATAGGAGTTTTATATTTAGTATTGTTCTAATTTTATTTAAAATAAATATTAAATCAAATACATATAAAGTTTACGCGTAAATACATGACCATAAAAAATTCATTTCGCTTAGCAAACAATGCCTACAAAGAACATCCATATTGATCTCTTCCGACCTTGACCCATCCCAGCTGAGTATGGGGATTTTCCTTTTCCTGTTCGTAAAACGTACGAAAGTATAAGCACGTATTGGCTGTATCTGGATGCTAGGGGGGGAAAGTTACTGTTTACATTTAGCATGGGGGCATCCATAAGAAAAAGATAGAAGTATTAAGTTACTTCACTGTTAAAAACAACACAGACCAAAAATAAGTACTGGAACAGAATATAAATACACCATTAAGAGAAATTCAAATAAAAAAAGAGGAAAACAACCAACTTATTTAGACACCTGTCGTAAATGTCGCAAATATGGTTGCTAATATCGGGGAGATGGATTTCCAGACACTAAAAAAATATCTTTATATCACTTTTAGACTAAAGGAACGAAAACATGAAAATTGTTCGCAAATGTATAATTTGAATGGTTTATAAATTCTTAAGATTCTTTGGTTATCGAGATCGTTTATACTAATCAGCATTTTAGTAGGAGGACACCCAACGTCATTCATTGGCATTTACACAATGGCATCATACATCGCAATTTTTGTTTTATTGTTCACTGATCTGAATATTCATTTATTCAATACAGGTATCTCGTCTTCGATTGATAAGTACTTATTCGTAGTCGGTGTTTAAAATAACTGTTTTTTACGCAATAATATTATCTTATGTATAAAATTCTCGTGTCACAATGTTAGTTACCATATTCCTCCCAAACGTCTTGATCGATTTTTATGAAATTTTATATGTATATTCAGTAGGTCTGAGAATCGGCTACTATCTATTTTTCATACCCCTAAGTGGTAAGCGATATCCACCCCTAAACATATTTTTTTATATTTTCGACATAATGTTTTATTTTCATTTTATTATTATTTAGGATTGAAAAATACATACAACCCTACATTTTCACTCTTCTAGCATCAACCCCTATTTAATTTATATGGCAAAACATTGTTTGCCGGGACAGCTAGTATCTTTATGAATATCATTATCTGAGGAAGTCAGTGGCAATGTGAACTGTCGACGTCGTTGTGAATGTAACATTTAATATTATATACATACTTAGTCATGGTAATCTTTCGGCTCAATTTAATCAAATCGATCTGTTTCCTTCATAATACAATGTCAAACATAAATTAAACGACATTTATTTCAGCTGTCTGCTAAATTTGAACTCACGAATGTCGGGGAAAATGTCGGATACAACCACAAGACTCACAAGTGCTATTTGTTTGCTCCATTTTTTTAAATATAATGTTATTTATTGAAACTTATTGAAGATAAACTGAGGCATTACACACAGATTGGTCTAAATAAAATTTCATATATTACAATAGATAACCCGAATCAACGCCAATGTGCCAACGTGGGGGAAAGATATTACAGAAATTTATTGTGGGACATTTATAGGATCTTGTAGCTCGAGGCATATTGTGTTACCTGATATTGCCCAATGGATTGGAAAGATGTATAGTCCAGATGGCGACATCATGACACCATTATAATTTGAGAAGGTCGATACGTAAATTTACTTCAATAAACTTATTAAACACGTTGTTTACACTATTAGGCAGACATGCGATTAAGTTATTTCAATATTTTTTTATTTATCACGATCTGTATTAATATCTAATACGACCATCTACAATAATTATAGCCTGCTAACTTAAACGCGTTGAGACGATTATTTTGCAAAATAGGCTACGTCATCAGGCAGGCCGGGTGCTTGAATGAATTTGTCCTAGTCATGTAAAAAATTGCAACTTTAATACGCATAAAACGGACATTATAGAAATTATAAGAAATAACACCTTACAATGATGAATCATTCTATATAAAAATATATGTAAAAATTTAAATAAATGGAATTGCCGCCACTTATTCTATCATACATATGATTACAATCAATATCGTGCGCAATGCACCACTGCGCATGTTTCCCTAGAATCCAGGGGTTGGAACACAAATAGTGACTTTATGGTTATAGGGTAAAAGGTATAGAATTAAATGAAATTCAGCTTAGAGCCCAGATGACAGATACTCGGTTTGTTACGAACAGTGTGCATGTGAATCCTACTGTAGACACAGAAATATTCGATATTATTACGTTTGAATTAGTGTTATGTGATAAAGTGAAAACTCAATTTAAAAATAATAATACTTAGGCCAGACCTGTGGAGTTTATGTGATAAAATTGTATAAAATAGCTAGGTAGTACATATATTTTTTTCATTAAAAGGCATCTCTTCACACATTCTCTGTCAGTGTGATCAATTCTGTTGTTTTCTAAATAACACATGTACAGTAGTTATATAATAATAAATAACGATTAAAATCGGAAATAAATGAAATTGTTATTAAGACAAAATATTTAGAAGTATTAGACAACATATTCAAATTATGTATATGTGTTAGGTACAAAGTTACTTCAATATGTTCGTGATATTTCGTTTTAACGATAGGCGCACCTACTAAAAATAGACCCCTGAAAAATGCGTATTAAAATCATATGCTAACTAAATTATTTTAAATAAAATATTATACATACGCCGCACAATATAAAAAAAATATAACCTCTATGTTTTTTCACTTAAAATAAATAGTTAAATTTGTTGCAATGAGAAATATATGTTAGGTAAGAGTAAATAAGATTATCAAAGTAACATTTAGCAAATGTGTTAATACACCATCTTGCATCAATCCTAGTTTGCAACGATAGTAGTGTACCTACTATGGACTAAAAATAAAAAAATATAAGTAGGTAAATACGGTAGATTGAAGGTTCTAAATTAATTATTAGGCAGCATATTGTGCAGTAACGCTTATTAAGGCTTATTTAATTAAATATGGCTGTGGCCAAATTTTCTATCCAAAAAATAGACATTTTATTATTAAAATTTCATTTAAACCTTTAACGTATTATCTCTTATATCCTTCGTCATAATAATCATCTACAGTTAATCTTCTATTTAGATAAAATATTTTTTTAAGTCTTTTAATGTTATCTATGAGACATACAATATTTTCGGCAATTACAAGAGTCTTTATTGCTAAATTTTCTTCCCAAAAACATTCAATATTTTTTTATACCTTATTTAATGTCAAAAAGAATCATCTCTCTTTTTAGCAAAACCAGGAGATATTTTATTAATATTATAAACTCGAAAGTTTTTGAGTATGGATCGATGTTTGTTACTCTTTCACGCAAAAACTACTGAACGGATTATGACGAAAGTTTTCAGTAATATAGGAATTTAGTAATATCAGAATTACATATAGGCTATAAATTTCACGCGGGTGAAACCGCGGACACAACTAGTCGTAAATAAAGATGTAGTCGTAATCGATTTAGAAAGAGGATAGAGTTAGTATGTACTTACCTATTTATGAATAAAAATATTAATATCGGGTCCATACTTGCAATTACCTTAGGTATTAAAAAAGTTATTGAAGATTATTGTAGATATATATATTCCTATAGGCATACAGTATCTATAAATGCTTACATACATACTAGGTTTGTACTTCTAATCGTTAATTTACTTAATTTTATTGATAACTGTACTAAACTATATCGACAGGGAATTAATTAATTTGTGTTAACTTCTAGGCTTGTGCATTTTGCTTTATCCAGACCCAGACCCATTATATATGTGGACGTACATATATAATTCTGGGTCTGGATAAAGCTGTACTGTAAGTTAATGATAAATATTGAGATAGATGGAATTTTAAATAAAATGGGACAATAATAGAAGAAACAAAAATTTTGTTACATTATCCTTGCATTACCTTAATTCCATTATTTGGGGTCGGTCATAATTAATACAAAATATAGAATAGAAATATAATGTGTATAATTGAGCCAAAAATAATATCACTGAAATAAATTTCGATATATTATTTCGTTTAAAAGTCGTATCGTCCAGTATTATAAACCGAAAATCAAATAATAGTACAACTGAGTGACTAACTTCTTTTTGAAGTCGGTTGGAATTGAATAAAATTCACCGTAGAAACAATTGTGTCATCAATGTAATCCAATGAAGTTGTATGGCATCCTTGTCTTGTAAAATGTAACTTTGTACGAGTAATTTCCTCATTTTCTATTAAGCGAAAGTATATAGACACAAGTAGGTGCGTGTATATCTCTCAGTAGAAAATTCTAGAATTCCTATTTGTATCAGCACGGTATCCACAAATATATATATTAATAGTAAGATTTCCCAGGTCAGTTAACGTTTCGTGGTGAATTCACCAGGAATTAATCAGGAAGTTTTCCAAGTAGACCTTATAGGATATATACGATAATAATGATTCAGGCAGTAACAATACAGCAGTCATAAGAGTTTTCCAAGATAGAGATTAAATGTACCAGTAAATAAAGAAATGCATGGCCATGTTTCTTGGACTTGGCCTGGGGTCGCCACCGTGAACCCAAATGTCTTGCGTTAACAATTACCAAATATTTCGCATATTGCTGAGTTATTTTCTCTACATAGTAATTTTTATACTCGCCAAGATGGAAAATAGTATATTTTTTTCTGTAGTAATTGATATTAAAAAAGGGTTCTCAAAGATGAGACAATATTTTACGATCTATTCATAAAAAATACATTTCACAGTAATTAAATTATTGTTAAAACAATTGTACATAGCTTACGATTATTTCAAAATTTCTTTATTCGTAAATAACTACCACTTAGGTTCCACGTTGAATAATGGTGTGGTTTGTTACCTTATCATCCGAAACAATGTCATCGATGAAATGAGTGATAAAATATGTAGTGGTAGAACTGGTTACTGTGTAATAAAGTGTATATAAAATATCAAGTCATTAGTCGCCTGAAGAGAATATTTCGGTAAGTGCTGTTCCAACTCTTTATATTAGGTGTATTGTAAAAGTACATTAGATTAATCAAAATGTCCCTAATGATTGTCTTTTATTTGTTAAGTTGCCTTGAGTTCTGAACATGACTTCAATGCTTTTAATTTAATAACAATTTTAACGTTATGATCTCTCTATAATTGATATAAGTTTACTGTGTTTTTTATACATATTATCTAATTATTAGATTATATTTTTACGCTAATATGCATGTCCATTGAAGTATATTAATTTTTTATGTATTGATCTTAGGTTTTACGTTTTTTCTACGTACTACAGATTTTTTTTTAATAATATGCGATAGTTAGCTACTATCGCATATTATTAAAAAAAATCTGTGAGAAATATTCAATAATAATTAATATAACTCCATCTTTACAATATAAAGATGGAGTTATATTAATTTTGCAGTTCAGTAAGGAATCAATACCTTTAGTTCATTTACTTTGTAAAAGTTAGGATGGAAATAATGAGTATTCTATTGATTCATGTACCTAAATTGCACCGTCAGCTTCTTATATTTTATAACTGTACGTGATCTAGCATAAAATTATACCTTACGAAATAAATGCGTTACAACGGCCATAATAAATTTGCATTTTATCAGAAAATTTCTGAAACTGTGTGGTTTGACTTAGTTAATACCATTACTTGAATGACTGAATGAATTTCAAATATATTTGATTTACTTTGTTAAATACGAATTAAAGCGCATTCTACAAATTATTTTTCATTTTTAATGAATGATTAATTGATTTTAACTGTAGTGGAAGATAGTAATTAATGAGATGATTAGAAGATAGATTCAATGAATGATTACTAACTGTAGTGGAAGATTGTAGATTGAGGACAAAGTCAGGTTATATCGCCTGTTATAATTAAACAAGCATATATTACGATGGTTTTTATAGGGACCGCTTTAAGGTCATGTTGATAGAGTAGGATATATTGTCAACAATACTAAAAAGAGAAAGGTTCTCTCAAAATTGTGGGTTAGATTGGGTTTAGATTTTAAAACATATTAGGTATATGTTATAAGTCTTATGTTTAGTATTGCGGCGTTGTCTACAAAAGTAATAGGTATGTTTATATAGTTTTCTTGAAAGACTTCCAATATCATATTTCTGATAGATCGATAACTTTATTAAATACCTACAAGTCACTACATGAGTCACATTCTGTGCAATTGTACTCACTTGCTAATTTATTTTTATTGGCTACATTATGAAGTTTCCGATGGTTTCAAACTTTGCAAAAAAAAAAAACAAGTTGGTGTGTGAGAAAGTGCTATAATTTTTTAATCGGTGCTATAATTTTTATTTATACTTACAGTATATACTTGTAGAAATAATTGAACCGTATACAATTAAAATATGAATAACATTGTCTGTTCATTTTAATAAATTATGGTAAATTGGTATTACAAATATGCAGTGGCATGTTTTAAATATTACATTTATGTTCATAAATCTACAGTTTAATGGTAGACTTTAGCTTTTGTAATATACTTAGGTAGAGTTTAAACTTTTAGATTTTATCAAAGCGGAGAGGAAACCTTACTGCAAGTTATTTTTCAGTGTTTTAAGCCAATTGTGCCTTATTATTTCTAGGTTTCGGCATGGCGTGTGAGAACTTTGTTTACAATAATACCGAGATATAGTTCCTGCTTGCAACCTTTTGAGAGCTTATAATGCCAAGGTATATATAACTGCACGTGTATCCATGTAGTTAAACAGCTGTATTAAAAGCTACTTTTGTAATGTAGGTACTAGCGAACGCCCCAGCTTCACAGAGATATGTATATAAAACCTGAATTAATCATACACCTAAACTTTACTTAGAAATCACTTTATTTATAAATTAAAAAACCGCATAGAAATCCGTTAGGTACTTCTTGATATTATCGCGGACAGACAGACAGACGTGGGGTGGGCGGGTATCACCTCTACAATATGTAACATTGTAATTATCAATTACTCTAAGAATTCAAGCATATAGCGCTTCGAATGCAGTAATTACTGTTTAGCTGTTTAGGATTCGTCGACTGGTCTTTCCATCTAAGTTGCATTTATCCAGTATGACAAGTTGTTCCACGTATGGACAATTTAAAGCGTTGCGTTTTCAATTACAAAAACTTACACATAGTGTACATATAGACAGATACAGACAGACACAATAGAATACTATCTTGGTCTTCTCCATATTCATCTTAATAGTTGCCTATTGATAATTGTTATTGATGTGATTAAACATCTTATTTAGGTCTGTTAGGGATTCCACAATGATTAGTTCGGGAAGTCCAAGGTGGTTAGTCAGTGCATGTTTAATCACCGTTGATGTTTATACCGTATTCTTTCTGATACTGGTGTATGAAACGTTAATAGGATAGTCGAGAATTCTCTTGGAGATATGTTGTCATCCTGTCTTACACCTTTTTGCACTTATACTTGCCTTGATGGTGTATTCAGTCAGGCGTCATTAGCCTTCTTATATATGTATATGTACTTCAGCACTTTAATAGCACTTCGTAATATCAATAATATCGTATTGCTTTTTATTTAAGGACTTCACATGTGATGTATTTATAACTAAGCGATGACATATAAAGTTACGTAGTTCTTTAGGGATTTAAGGATTACGAATGCCTAGTATTGTAATGCCTTTAAGTTCGTGCAGCCAACTAAGTAATCATCGAGGTAAATTAAACCAGCTTAGAATCAAATAGTTTATAGCGAAGAGTTACGTTCATTAAATCTTCGGCTGTTGTATCTTACTATGATTATGCATTTTGGGAGGTTTTATTTCAAAATGTACAACTGTAACCCAGGAAATAACTAGGATGGTACAGCTTTTTCAAAGAAAGTTGCAATTTTAATTTGAAGCAATAACTTTAACACAGAACAAATATTTTAAAAGCTTGTGTTCGTGCTTCGTGTTTCGTCTTTTTGCTTGTTATATGTATATAATTTGTAGAAATGTATATGTATTTTGATCAATGCTGCTCCGCTCCATTCTATTATCTACACCATTTTGGATGCAGCAGGTAACATTCGTCGAAATTTGTTTTATTACGGACTATTGGAAACATTCCAATCCTATGGGACTGAAATAATGAAAGGAAATGAAAAAATATGAAATACTTTTTTTGGTACTTAAGAAAAAATAGTCAATGAAAATATTAGGGAAAGTGATTATTATAAAAAATTAATCATCGAAATAGCATCAATCGTTTCGCTAATATAAGTAAGTGTATAAAAAGCACATAAGCAACACAAAAATATATAATATTATAAGAGAACCAAAATAACAAAATTCCAAATTGATGATTGATTTTACTTATCACAACTGCCTGTAATAGATCTAAAAAAGAAAGATAATTTGATTCAAATTTGATAATTTTGCACAACATTATTTGCTATCATATTTATAATACATTTATACGAGTATTTGTCTAAGATATTTTATAATGAAAATGAGATAAATCTTGCTGGGGTACTGTCACCAGTTAAAATGATAATAGCCAATATAATATGGATATATGTTTCTTTTCCAATTCTATACAAAATTAGTTTGATTGTATGTCGAAGAGTGAACTATGGCAGTATAAGTACTGGAAACATATCTATTATATGTACTGTAAAGCTCCATGTTCAGTATTGAACACATTAATATTACATAATTTCTATTGAATCCTTTTGTGTTAATAGCGTCCACTACAAAACGATCAAAGGATGAAGATAAAATGCAAGCTTTCAGGTCATTCTGGTGCAGGAACTTACTATAATGGTTTTCAGAATACATTGCGTAGATCTTGACTTGTATAGATATGTAGTTTACCAATTATCTATGCTAAAAGGTACCACAGATACGCTATTACTAGCCATTATTAACAATCTTCTTATTGTTTCAATTATTGCCTATATGTATTGGGATAAGCAAGAAGTACTGAATGATAATGTTGCGTTAAAAAAATTGCGTTCTAAATGTCTTGACATGACTTCTAACGGATGTATTTATCAGGTCGGCGGGAGGGTCCAGCAGCGCAGTAGGTGTCGAGGAGGCGAGCGACGGTAGTGACGCCGAGCGCCCGCGTAGGGGACATCATTTGCGAGTGCCCACACCGGCTTTTGTTGGACAGTGAGTACATTTTTTTAATTCATGCTGCTCTGCTTATTCTAGTTTCGCCCGCACGTACACTTTATCTTCTATTCCGCAAGAACTACATTATTTTTAGGAAATTCGCTCTTACAGGAATAAAATTAACGATATTCAAAGTCAGTTCAGGAGTAGTAAATTTATCTAGTACGAATAACAAGGAATATAAAAACGGTTTAAAATTGAAGTATTATACTGCATCTAAATAAATTATATAATCGAATTAGACAAAGCCTCCTTTCTGAAGTAAATTTTATACAATGTTTGAAGTAAATAAAATGTAAATTACAAACGCTGAAATGTTCAAAATATAGCTTTTTCATGCAACCTGTGCATGCAACTGTTTATTTGCAATCTACAATAAAAATCTACTTCTTATTAGATTCTGAATGAAATACTCTGGTAAATAATTGACTCATATTTTATACTTTATTACTCCAATACACACAATGCAATAAAGTAGACAAAGAATGTTAGATATCCCCGCGGAGAGCAATATCTAATCCTGATTGTTCTACTGTCAAAGAGGTTTATAAATTATTAGAGCTTGTCTGTATGTATTGCTTATTAAACTGAACCTTTTGAAATAAAATGATCAATCATTTGGTGTAAAGATAGCAATAAATACTAACTTATTGCTATCTTTACACCAAATGCTTCATGCGGTTGTCAGGGTTGTGTTAAGCGACAATGCTATAATTTTTTTTTAGTTTCTTCATAAGTATAAATTCTTCCGCTATATTGTTTCCATATCTATTTAATCATCTAACAGATGTTCAGCATTTCTCGCACTATCTTATATGTTTATTTACCCATGTTACTTCATATCTGAAAGTCAAATATGAAACCATAGATAATGAATAGGTATTTAGTAGTTTACAAACGGTCTAACATTATGTGATCATTTATAGCAGTATACGCATTTCAATATGTCTATGTGTTTATTAGGAAAGTTCGGATAATTAAAAGGGCAGTATATTTGGTTTTGTACTAAATGTATTGAAGACTGCTGTTATAATGTGTGAATAATTGTGAGACGGAGTAAGTGCAAAAAATTGATGATTGATGATTTTTTTCTTAAGAAAAACAACAGACAATTTTATGTTGCATTCTATATAATCATATCTATTTGTCCATTTATATTAAAAATTTCATTAAAGTTGGTCAATGAATTTAAATTGAGTGATATTCTTGAAGGCAATTATTCTCAACTTCCTTTCCTATCGAGATTTCCCTCAAATAGAGTCTTTGTTTTACGTTATCGAATAAATTTAGATTAACGGGTGTATAAGATTGCAATAAATGGAGGATGGACTATGGAGGTTCTTAAGTTGTTACTGTAATCACTATGGAAGCGACTGACTCGGAAATTGCTGGCACCGCTCGAACTGTACGTTGGACTCTTAGACGGGAGAGTCTTCCGATATCAACCATCAAGCGTGCTTGGCACAAAGGCACACACAGTATAACATCAGATGGACTTCACTGGAGGAGACGGTAAGTTTAAAAGTTAATGAAGTGTACGAGCAGTTTGTTTGAGAATTTTAAAAATTATTTCCAATTTCGGATATCACTTTTTAGGAACATTTGTTCAGGGACACGGGTTTTCGGTTAAAGTATATTCTCTTTATGAATTAGACGTATTATTCAACTAAATTAAGCAATTCGCGTCGATGAATAAATGAAAAGACAAAAATATTACAAACCATAAATATTGGACATATTTAGATAACAAATGAGTTTATAAAGACGCTTTAATATTTAATGAATATTCTGATGAAAGTAATTATAACAAAAAAATAATTATATTTTATGTAATAAAAAAATACATAATGCTTACTTATGTCGAATATATTTAGGTAGGCATTATCTTTAATTATCTTATGTATATTATAAAAAATATGCATCTTTAATAGTTTTCTTTTCTTGAAGTCGGTTAAACAGTAATCACTTTTAGTATTAAAGTGGATATTATTAAATGGGTGGCGTAACCTATTTGGCTAATGGGCCCGCGGGCCGGGTTGGTTAGGGAAGTGTTATATAAATTAAGTCGTACATTTAATATCTACTGATATAGTAGAGTTGGTGTACATCACGTTATAAGGGGAACTTACGTTTAGCAATGATACTTGTTATCATTTATGCAAGTATCGCTGCTTAGGACGAATATTATATTGTACGATACCTACTTTATATGCTTATATATTATATTCTCACTATTTACTTAATTTATTTTTTTAAAGTGCAATGCACAAATACATGAACATAAGTGCACATAGCGGACTTCACACCTTGAGGCTTTTTCTCCCAGTCAACCATTGGGCAAACTGAAACTAATGTGGGCGGTGCATATTTTATGACTAAATAAGTGCTCTAAATGTCAAAATCTGTCACGAAGAAAATGTAAGGATTTTGACAAATACTCTGTAACAACTCTACGGGCTTTAAACTGTCTCTCTCACAGATTCATCTTCATATTACAATGTAACTTGGTATATATGTAATCGTTGTTTACACGTTTTACTGTTTTACACGTATTTAGACCATGTACATTTGTGAAACCACAACACTGAATTATGTAAACGTTATCTAAAGTCAATAAGTAGAGCATGTTTTGGTAATGAAAATAAATTATGTTTTCAATATTTAGCGAAACAACACAATACGGTTTTACTAAGCTACTGGATCGATATTTAATTAATACTGATCTTTTTACAGTTATTAAACTGTTTTGGTATATCGTCAAATATAAAATTAGAAAAAATTAAGGGCTTATAATTTTTATGAAGTTTTATAAATTATATGGATTTAGTAAAAGTTTGAAAAAAAAAAAATTTTAATTTGGAATTGAATGATTAATTCTGTCACCTGCCACATAATAAATACATAGGAACTAAGGCATAAGAAAAGCTCTGTAAGTTTATTTCTGTGCAGTTTGTTTAATCGGGTTTATTTGTCTGTGAATGGACGTGGCATTATCATTTGATCTACGAGCTCCATTTCAAATGGCCGTCTACATTAAGGTTAAAACAGACTATTGTCGATAAATTGACCTACTGCATGGAATGGGGTTATGTTTCCTGTAAAGAATGCCGGTCTAAAATAGTAGGTATGTAGGTACACATTATGTAATGTGGTTTCTAACACTAGAACTCCGTGACAGTTAGGGGTGGAGCCTGAATATCTAATACGTACTATTGGGGCACCTACAGCGATAACATAAATCTTAGCTACTGCTACTGTAAAACATAATGATTATATGCTCACTGATACACCGCTTACAACTAGTATGCTTTACCTACTATACATCTACCTGCTTATATTCTGTAATAAAACTATGTACCTACATAGTAAAAGACTACTCGTTCCGGAATAATCCAGATAGTCAAGAGTGATTAACTGTTTCAATGTAATATTTTAGCTTTTTATGTTAGGAGTTGCCTTTATAAATTTTAAATGTAGGTAAATTATAATTTTGTTTATTTAGATTTTCTGAATTTGGCCCACACTACACTTCGTGGAAACTTGTGTATCAACTAGCAAGTGTCTTGCTCTGTGGGCGCCACATGACGTCACTGCCCGTCGCGGGAATTTTGCCAAAATAACGTCAGCAAAGAGACACTCCTTTGATCTAGGGCTGCCCAATATATATTATTAATTATTTTATTTAATCAATAAAACTTAATCAAATGAACGGACCTGTGTGTGGCACTGAACCCAAAAATATTAACTAATTTGAAAACTTTTCTACCATCTCATTACGATTTCCTAGACGTTCTTATATACATAGTATAAACAAAGTTGCTCTCGTTGTCTGTACGCTCAGATCTTTTAATCTATACAACGCAGTTTTCGGCAATAGATAGAGTGATGCAAGAGGAAGGTTTATAATCATATACAACTGTGCGAAGCCAGCGCGGCGCGGCGTGGGGAGCTAATTTAGACGACTATGATAAATCATACAGTAGATCATTAATTCATATAAAATGTTTAACTACATACAATTATCTGATATATTTTAAGAATAAAATCATAATTTTATATAGGTGTAGGATCCGTCTTAAAGCGTTTATTTTTTTCAATCATGTAGTTAGAGTGTTACAGATTAAAATTAGATTTAACATTACATTAAATACTCCCTAAAATAAATAGATAGACTCCGTTATCTGCATGTGCAACTTTGTCTCAACCCGAAAAGAGAAAAAATTGTTTTGGTTGAAGGGTAAGATTTAGCAATCAATCTACAACGTACGGTAGCATGGTTCTTACTTCCATAGTACGCGGGCTTTATCTGTAAAAGTTTTTTTTTTTCAACTATTACAGTCTAATACTGTAGGCCGCAGCTAACCTTTACAGCTTCACCGGACGATAGGGGGCGAGTGTAGATGGCACTTCAAACACGCCGAATAACTTATATTATGTAACGGCTGAAAACCAACTCCCGCCTGCCGGATAAGACTTTAGATTAGCGGTGCCCTCAGGCACCGTTAGGGGTTCGAACCTGAGCTCAGGCCGGCAGATGGATCGATTGTAGGACCTGATGGTACTGTTCGTGTACATCACCGGATGCCAGTTAATAAAAAAGATACGCAGAGGAGGCAGCCTTAACTCATCAAAAAAATATCTATAGCAACATTAGCTACGTCATGATCGCACTTTACTACGTTGTTGACGTCAGGGCACGTTTTCCAACTCACCTAGGTGTCATACAACAATGAAATCAACACCCAAAGTATGAAATATTCAGTATAAACTACGATGCTCATATTCTACAAATAAGTAGCGAGAATATTGTATAGAGACATTCATAGTAAAAGAAATCAAGACTGTTAATTTGTAGTTTTTTCTCTAAATTTTAAATGAGCACAAAAATTTATTACATTATATATTACTCGTATTGTACCTATGTACATACAATTTGAATATTAATGTAATTCATGACGCAAAATATTATTAGTAAACGGCAAAAACATTCTTGTTAG